CATTTATGATCAAACATTGAAATGTTTAAAGTACAGTAATACAGTGTATCTCCATCAGCCGGAATCCCTCAAACCCGGAACTCTCTTAGGGATTATGGGGAAACTTTCGTCGTGGCCCTCGACATCTCCAAAGCATTTGACAGGGTATGGCACAAGTCTTTGCTATCTAAACTTCCCTCTTTTGGTTTCTCTCCCCCACTTTCTTTTCTAATCTCTAGCTTCCTTGAGAACCAATCCATGGCAGTTGTTGTCGAGGGATCGATCTCTCGTTCTTTCTCTATCAATAGTGGTGTCCCACAGGGTTCTGTTCTTTCACCTACTCTCTTCCTTCTTTTTATCAATGATTTACTTCACACTACAACTAATTCTATCCATTCTTACGCTGATGATTCTACTCTTCACTCTTCTTCACATTTTCCCCTTCCTCCTAACTCTCAAACTAGATCTGTTTCTAGAGCTCATATCATTAATTTTATCAATGAGGATCTGTGCAGCATCTCTGAATGGGGAGGTAGAAACTTGGTTAAGTTCAATAGAAATAAAACTCAATATTTACCAATTACACTTTCTAAATTAGACAATCTCCCACCAATTACATTTCAGGACGCTATCATCCTGCCAAACTCTGAAATAAATATGTTAGGCCTCACCATTTCCTCCAATATGTCCTGGAAATCACACATTCTTAATATAGCTAAAGCTACCGCCCGAAAGTTGGGAATGCTGTACAGATGCCGTAGCTACTTCACTCCTGAGCAGTTGCTCCAATTATATAAGGGATTCATTCATCCCAACTTGGAGTACCGCTCTCATATCTGGGGTGGCTCTTCTGTCCAACTGTTAGATAGGGCAGAATCAAAGGCAGTTCGTCTTACTAACTCTCATCCTTTAGTCGACAATCTCTCTTCACTTTCTCTTTGCCGCAATGTTGCTTCACTCTCTCTCTTTTACAGGTACTTTAACGGGCAATGTTCGGTGGATTTGGCATCTTGTGTACCAACGGCAAGGCCGTGGGCTCGTAACAAACGTCTTGCCCGCAGTGCCCACTGTTTCTCTGTGGATGTCGGTCACACGAGAATAAACCGTTATAGTACCTCATTCTTTCCTCACACAGCCAAACTGTGGAATGCTCTGCCTTCTTCTGTGTTTCCATACTTATACAATCTGTCTCACTTTAAAAAACTGGTTTTCCGGCATCTTCGTGGTGTAGATTAACACAGTACAGTATAACCTTTTTCTTCTCTATTTTCAATTTCTTTCTGTTCTTTTTTTTTTTTGCCCCCAGGCCCCGTTGTGGGTCGTTTGACCTGTGCCTGGGTGGGCTAATTCCCGAAAAAAAAAGCCGGAATTGAAATTTTCTCGGAAAATCGTTCCCAAAGCCAAAATTTTCCGGAAAATTACGGCTTTGGGAACGATTTTCCGAGGAGCAAATTTTCCGGAACATTCCGAGAAAATTCCGGGGATGGAAGAGTTTTTTCCGGGTTTGAGAGATGCAAATCAGGCGCATTTGCTGGAAATTCCAAGAAAAATTTTCTGGGGATGAGGGATTTTTTTCCGGGTTCGAGAGATGATGTAATGGGCAATTTCTGTTACTTCCGAGAACATTTTTCCATTACCCGGAAATTCCAGGAATGAGGGATTCGTTTCCGGCTTTGAGAGAGTCGTCTCGTTACCCAGAAATCTCTCATTCCCAGAAGTGCTCTGCACCAATTGTTCCGGCTAATGGGGATATCACTGTAATTACAATTTTCATAACCAGAAAAAATTAAAAGTACAGCAAGATCAATGGGTCTCTTGATTTTAAGTTACAATACTACTACGAGTATAGTCCTCTGTCAATGGGGTAATATAGCTTAGTTGGCAGTGCTCTAAATCTCCACCCCAAGAGATGTAGGTTCAATCCCTTGACTAAGCAGGGTTGGTTGGCCAAAATTTGCCGTGGGGTGAATTGAACTAGCCACTCAACCTATCAAAATACAGGACGAGGCTAACTCATTCTGCTTCTGAGTTGTCATTTTGCAAATTGTTAGATTACGTATTCTATAAGCATACAACTAACTTATTTACTGATGTATTTGCTATTATTCTAAATCCTTTAATGTCAAACACATTTGCTGAATTAATCCCAGTCATCAAATGAGGTTACCGGGTACCCTTTTTTCCTACAACTAAATTTGGCACCACTGTCAGTGACAAACATGGAAGTTCAGCCACTGGATACACTGATAGCATCTAATGATAAATATAAAAACAATGATGATAATCAAACTGATAAAGGCAATGGCTTGTGGATGAACATGTATGGTAGTTTTGAATACAACTGATATTGAAATTCAAAATTATCTTACATACAAGTTATGGTGGTTTATGTTTTGTCCAGTTTAGATTCAGGACACCATCTTCAACTCTCCATAAAACACAAGTTGGGTAACCTTGGGTTTGGCCAATCCAAAAGATTACATAACACCAGATAACAGCACACACTCTAATCAGTTACAGACAAAACTTCCACCTCAGGATCAGGAGTCACAAGCACTGATATTACAATAGTGTAAAACACTCCATTGAAATACGTTGTAACAATAAATGAGATATGTGATAATAATTAAGATTAATACAATATGATGAATTTGCTGATTACAGAAATAATTTCCAATATTGATGGAAATTAAACATTAATTAAGTTACATACTCACCAACACATTCTGCTGGAGCTTCCGTAGGACTGACCACTATGGCCGGTGGCTATCAAACCTAACTCAATTCTACACTCCTACGTGTAGCCAAACTGGCCTTCTGTCTTCTCCAGTCATTACTCCTGAACAATGTCTTGGTTATTGATAATGCAAAAGTGAATCAGGCAGAATCCCTAATCTCATCTTCACTGACAAAGGCAAACTCAAGCTACCTATACTACCATTATCAACTTGGTACTCACCTGTCTCCACATGTCTTATGAACTGCACTTTCACATCATGATTTTCCTGAATTGCTTTGCCACATCAACAGCAATATCAATTACATGTCTTTTTCCAGGCATTATGGGTAAAATATAAGTTAAAAACAGTAGACACAAAGGAAATAAATGCACAATTCTGGGAAACATTCAAAACCGGCGGTGAATAGAAATCAGTGTAAGCCACTCTCATTCACTGTGCACTAAACTTGAAGAAAGAACAAAAATGTTGCATGTCACATGGTCACACACACAACTTTGGAATTGTTTTATAGATAATACTTCTCCTTTTTTATATAGTAAAAAAATATCTACCACAATAATGAGCATTATTACAAAACAAATTTTTAAGAAAGATAGATGTGTGTGTTTAATAATAATAATAATAATAATAATTATAATAATAATTAACGGTTTATTGAAAGGGCATGGCAGCCGGAAGGCTGAAAATATACAGTTACATAATTGGAGAATGGATCATTTGATTGACAAATAATATACAGGTAACATAAAAGTAAAAGAGTGAGTGAGTGAGTGAGTGAGTGAGTGAGTGAGTGAGTGAGTGAGTGAGTGTGTGTGTGTGTGTGTGTGTGTGTGTGTGTGGCACATTGATAAAATAATGCAAAATAAACAGTAATTCAAAAAATGGAGAGCAGGAAGGATAGAGGAAACCAAAAGGATGAGTTGAAAGGATGGGATGGGAGACACTAGAAGTGAAGAAGATGGACATCCCAGAAACAATGGCATATACTAACTACAGGTATTTGTAAATGATAAGAGAAATTTTTGGTGAAGACTGTGCTGCTGGTGAATGATGCTGGCTTGAGTGAAGCAAAAGAAGTAACACAGATGGATATTGAGGAGTACATCATCATCGCCATTCTAAAGCCATTTTCCTTACTTGTGCGGGTTTGGTCTCTTGCAGCTTCTCTTAATAGGTTTTTATCTCTGAGGTCATTCCTCACAAACTCTCCTTTGTCATTCTTGGCTTACCCATAACTCTCCTCCCTTCCACATTCACACCCAATTGGTCTCCACTCTCTCCACATGCCCGAACCATCTTGGCCGACTTCTACACAAGACCCCATCAATATTCTAAATACCCAGCTGCTCTCTTATCTCTGAGCAGACTTCCTATCTCTCAACATCACATTAGCTCACTGAAGTCTTTTATTGCCCATGATCCATTGCTATGCAACAACACATTTCTATGCTGGCAAAGAGAAGGTCCTCTTATTTGTCAATAAAGCCAAACGCTCCCAAAACTTACTCAAGCCACTTCTGACTCTTGTAATTAAGCTAATTTTGGCACCACCTCCAGCATTGATCATGTCACCCAATTAGCAGAACTCATTGGCACAATCCAAGAATATATCTCCAATGTCAAGATTTCCCAGCCTTCCTAACCCACATGATTAACTGCATATACAGCACATTTAAAGTCAGTAACATCCTACATTCTACCATTTACTCCACTGTACTTCTTGTGTACCCACTTTCCACACTCACTGCACATTACTGAATTACTGCATAACGTATTTTTAACAGACAACACATGGCCAATTTTCAACATGTTAATTAGTTTTTTTTAGTCAAATTCACACTGATACCCTTCAAGTCCATTCCATCCTTCAATTTCTTATATTTGTTCACTACTAACTGTTTACAACACTAATTTGAGAACACATCTATAACAGCAGCAAGAATGAAAACATAACCGAGAATAATGGAAGAATGAATTTATTTTCATTTGATTCCAACTATCCTTTATTTTAGCCAGAAAAGACTTGAAAGTGAAAAGAAATAGTAATGCAGTAATGATAACTAAATCTTAACTAATGAGCAGTTTCATTTTCACATAATTAAACACACACATCGACTTCATCATACGTACAGTACTGTATATCATCGAAATATTTGGATTTAATCTTACAGTCATGGAGACACCCTTACAATAGATGTGGCTTCACTTCAGTTCAAATGCTAAAATATTAAAATATTAATTAGGACAATACTAGATACTCAAAGACTGTACTGTACTCACTTTTTGCCAAGAGCCATCATACCATACAGGACACCACACAAGAAGAGGAGCCCAGACCCAAACACAGTTGACAGCCCAGGACACATAATGATGGCCGGTAGAGACAAGCTGAAATATTAAACATTTAATTAAAAATAATGTTCACAAAGACACACATACCAGTAGTTAAAATCAAGGATTGCAATACAGAGTATTTTTATCTATCCCTAGTATCAGGCACTTTTAAAAAGAATCACTCCCTTATGGGCATGAGCTCATGTGCAGGCATCCCTGCATTACAGACATTCAGGGTACAGAAATTTGCCCTTTGGACGAATTTATTAAATTAGGACCACTAAATGTGGGACATATGACGATTTGCCCTTATGGAAATTTTCAAGATCGTTAACACAAAATTGAAAAATCCTCAAAATTAAAACAAAAATTCTGTATTTTCATACACTTTTGTTTACTGTACCAGCAAGCATGGATATGTGGCATACCCAAAATGCCAGTCTTGTTTATATCTAAGAGTTAGTAATGTGCAAGCTTTACACTCTCTTGGTTTGCCTCTGCCTCCCAGTTCCCACAGCCACTATCACCTCAAGCAGAAATCAACATCATCATTTCAGGTGAGTTAAATTAAAATCTTTTGTGTATTATCATCATATTTTATCATAAAATATAGGATTTTCCACTTAATGTGTTTAAAAAGGTTTTTTCCATTTGTAATTTTTTATTATTGGTTTCAATGGAAAAAATTTGGGTTAATATTGACAAGATACTCGTCACAGCCTAATTTAGGCCCTAAGCTCGCACTAGTGGCACTGCTTCATCTTTCACTGCAATAAATTAATAAGGCGCTCAATTTTGTCCTCCGCTCAGTGTATGTTTACGAGCCACTCAGTCCAAGTGGCTTCTCTCGGCCACAAAGCATGTAAAATTACACCATATCATAGTAATTTGTTTCTGTTTAATTGCCAGTTAGATAAGGTTAAGTAGGTTTCTTTGGTTATGTTGGTGTGGTCTTATAACAATGCTTTAGCCACTTGTGTTTCTTATCAACTAAGGTTAGGTTAGGTATATAAAAATAACCACCTTTTAACATATTTGCCCAAACTACGACAGTGTCCACTGCAAAACACAGTGAGATTGCGGCATTTTAAAATTCATTTTCTATGAAAAATCGGCGACGGGTATGTTGTCAATACAGTACTGTAATTACCCAAAAAAAATTTGAATTACAGAATTTCACTTTACAGAAAATTTTTCAAGAACGCATTCCTTCCGTAACATGGGAGATGCCTTTGTTTCTCCCACACTGATTTACAGTTACATGTTCATACAGTACTGAGTGACTGCAACTCATGAGACTACTCCCTAAAAATATCAATCATGCTAAACATAACAAACATTTAGTCTGTGTACTAATGAAAAAAATTCAGGACATAACATAGATTTCATAGACATACCATACCTAAACCTTCAGCACAAACAAAATAGTGTACGTACAGTACATTACAGTACTAATAGCATGTAATCTCAACTAACATCATCTTAACAAACAAACATACATTTTTCACTTACACAATATAGAGGACAGCTTTTTGCCATTGTGGTCTTCCCTCTACCCAAATCGAGTATTTCTGAACAAACTCAATAAACATACAGCAGCATGGGGCCTCGGCAGAGATTACAATGAAAGCTGCTAACCTGTGAAGAGATATTAAGTAATAAAAGATTATGAAACAATTCTTGACTCTGAGAAAACAGGTTGCACATTGTAATTCATAAATACAGAAGTATCCATCACGGACAAATCAGTATTTCACTTGACAACTTTCCATAAACTACAGTAGCTATATGGGTTTATAGTACTTAAGTTTTGGCGTGATCCTCTTGTTTGGGTTGTTGGGCATAATCCATGCACATATATAATTTTTTAATAATGTAACATAATAACTAGCCATTTTCAGTCAGAAGGATGCTGGTGGTACAGCAGTAATGTGCTTAACTCTCACAACCATTCAAGGGTTTTAGCCTCGGCCCGGACACACGCAAAAAGGGTTAACCAGTGTGACCCTACCAAGCATCAGAGGTTTCCCGGTCCCCATTTTCCTCTTGTACTAACACTGGATAGAGCACCCTAACGGCTAGTGAGCTGATAAGTGGCAAAAATTATATTAAAATATAAAAAGAAATCTTCAAGTGATCTCAGTACAGTATGCAAGTACACATGCAATACCTTCTCTTCTTTCCAATACAAACACACACAAAACAATTAAGTGACCTAAGTAATTAAAGCCTCTCCAATTAAGTATAGCTACCGTAAAGAAAGGGTACAGTTGCTTACTGAATCACCTCATGACCTTGGGGTTGCTGGTTCATGCCCATGGCACCTCCAGTTCACCAAGCTGAGAATAATCACTTAACTTTGGAGTTGGGTATGTGAAAGTAGTCAGGCACAATACCAGCCATGCTGCTAACTTCTTTATTGAAAATTGGCTTATAATAGTGTACTGTACTGTATCTGCATTTTTCCAATGGGCTGTTAGGCCCATGGGACCAAGTACCGTATAATTTTTTCACTGTGGAGGAACTTTAGTTTTTAGTCCTGTCACTCTTGTGTAAACCACACTAAAGGGTGTTCAAGATGTGCATGTAAAACCACAGGGTTGATCCTGAAATCCCCTTTTCTCTCTCAGCCCATAGCAGGATTGCTTCTCATAATAGCAGGCTGACAGTTGGGACACTCGTTACCCTCAGACAACCCCTATTTTTCTCTCTCCATTAGCCCCCAAAATATTGTAAGTTTCTCCTTACCTACGTAGCATGGATGTCTAATATCTCTTATGTACGAAAAATAAAAAATAAATCACCAGTCAGGGACACAAAAGTATAAATGATTTAATGAACTCAAACAATATGAACAACTGAACATCATTCACTCAGTCACTTATGAGATCTGGATTTTCAAGTTTGTTTCACAGTACAGTATATAATACTGTGCACCTACCAGGTACTATCCCTCAAAGAACATTGGTAAATAAAACTTCAGCTCATTAACAAAAAAAAGTCACATTACAACAAGCACAGACATGATCATGACTATTTAGTGGTTCATGTCTTAATATTCCTCTACTAGTTCCTACCTACTGAGATAGAAGTACCCTACAGTACAATGAACTTATTACACAATCTCACTACAGGTACAGGGTACCACTAAAATAAACACAAAATTTGATTTATAATACAATCATTATCATATAAATCTAAAAACTCATATTCATCCATCCAAGGTAAAATAATTATGATTATCTTAACTGTTAAAACTTGGTACCAGTATATGAAGAGAGCTCATCTTTACTGATAACCTCAAGTTGCAATACAGTACTTACATCTGCCAAATTCCAGCAACAATGCACCAAGGAGTAATAGTGACACAGTTGAATACTCCAAGACCCATGGCAACTGAAAAACAAAAGTAATAATGTTCAAAGCTGTGAGAAGGATGTGGTGATGTACAGTACAGTGTTGCTTAATATTTTGGGTAACTTCAATTAATACACTAAAGATGTAAAGAAGTTCAGCAAATTCAATACCTGTATTGTATTCAGAATTGTTCCTAAAATAAGACTTGCTCTTAACAAAACTCAAACCTAAAATTTTAACCCAGTGAGTTGCTGACTATGAAGTGACAACACAAATCCCTTCATCCTTCAGAATTTTATTTTTCCTTATAGAAGTTGCAATAATCATTGATATAAGGAAAACAAGGCAATGCAAGTTCTTAAAACTTGGCCTCAGCAGCAAGCAGCCCCATGATATACTGTACAGTATACTGTACCTCTCCAGTAGTTGTTTACTGAAGCACCTCTGACGCTCCAACAAGTGAAAACCGATCATCACTGAACTAAGTCTCAATTTATCAGAATGAAACCATTCCACAAATTTTTATTCAAATTCAAGCTTGGATGGCGTTGCTAAAATAAAACACATACAGTAAACCCCCGATAACTTGGCATTTGATAACTCGGAATTTCATATAACTCGGCAAGGATATGGTCTCGTAATGTATAACTCAAGAAATCTCAGCATATCTGGCCACCTGCATCACCTACCATGCCTCTGTGTTATCTATCATACCTCTGCTTCACTTATCATGCATGTGTCACCTACTATGATGCTTCATTCTTCACCTGCAGTGCTGGTGTTATTTTTTTAAATTTAGTAATTACATGTACTGTGCACATATGTGGGTCAATAATTTTTATTGTTGTATTTTTGTAGGAGCAGGGAAGTGGGCTAACTCGGCAAGGCCAGAGCCCCTTATGTGCTGAGTTATCGAGGGTTTACTGTATGTATATCATAATTATACTGTACTGGTAATTCATTAACATTTTGTTTTAATTTGGCACTCCAGCAAATGGTAAATATTTATTAGTTGCCAACACCTACTTATATATTGAGTCTTATATAAGGAAAAAGAGATTAAACAAATTACAGGTGCTCCCCTACTTACGAACAAGTTACGTTCCTGAGGCTTGTTTATAAGTCCAACTTTACTCCTGTAGATACCGAACATATTGTAAAAAATGAAAAGATTACGGATATTTAGTACAGCTATACCCTTTAATACAGCCTTAAAACCTGGCTCACTCTTCTCCTCTTAGGTAATGTTTGTTCTATCTGGAATTTTCTTCAAAATAATTCAGTCTCGTCCACATTAAACACCTGTTCTGGCAGGTAACCTCCCTCAGTGATGATGTTTGTATCTCTGAAAGTTTGCAAGTTGAACGTTCTTAAGTAGAGGAGCACCTGTATTCTATAACGTTTCCATCGGGAATTTATATTTTATGAGTATTTTAATCGATAAAATTGCCAACAATATTACATTTTTTAAAGTAGGCAGTGCTTGGAAGTAGAGAGAAAATGTCGGGTAAAATGCTAAAAAAAAAAAACACTAAACAAACTTTTGAAAACCTGACCTAACATTTTCTAACCTTTAAAAATCCTAAAACTATAAAAAAAGTTTACCTTATTCGTGTTTTCACTGTTTAGTAGGTGATGGCGTTGTTTTCGGTGCTCAGATGAGGAGAGATCCATAAACAGAAAAGTGAGTCTTAGCATTTTGAAAAGTTAGGAGACATTAGATAAGGTTTTCAAAGGGGTGTATTACCAGGTATCATCATTTTGGTCATCCTGCAAATTTTGGGATTTTAAGTTTTGCAATCAGTAGTTTAAACAATTCTAGGACTCGTTTCTTCCGTAGCATTTCTTCCACAAATGATTAATTTCCGATAAAATCTAAGTTAGATTTAGGTTAGGCTGAAATTATGTTTTTCCAATGGTTTTTGATGTGTTTTGAATGATTCTGACCTTCATTTCTATCACAAATGGCTACTTTTGTGATTTTCCCCCACCCAAACCCCTTATCGTTAGATAAGGGAGGAGGGAGGGGTAGCTCAAACAGTAGTGATTTGTAGTAGAATCATAAAATTATTCAAAACACATCAAAAACCATTGGAAAAACATAATTTCAACTTCCAAATAGGTGGATGACTGAAATGATAATTTTACCTTCAAAGGTTTGCTTGGTGTTCTTTTAAGTATATTACCCCACATTTTCCTTCTACTTCAAAGCCCTGGCTGCTTTGAACAACTAACATTGTTGGTAATTTTATTGGTCAAAATACTCAAAAAATGTTAATTTCCGACAGAAACATTGTAGAATAAATTATTCATAGTTTTTCTCTTTCTCCCTGTATAAGACTCAATATATAAGTAGGTGTTGGCAACTTCTAAATATTAACCCAGCAAATGACTCTAGTGCAGTGGTTCTCAACCTTGTTTGCCCCATGCACCCCTTTCACCATATGTCAGAATGTCATTCCCCCCTCCTTTCCAAGATTGTCTGCCTCAAAAAGTGCATTCCAAATAATATGCATATAATACTGAAAATCCTTTATTTTTTCCAAATTAGTACATATACATTTACAATTTTACATGGATTATTTTTATAGTGGAGTTTTACAAATTAAATGCCAATTGAAAATGTTGATGGATTTATAAAACTTGAATAAAAGTAAAATAGTTTTTTATATTTATAATGAATTACTTAACAGACCAAACTGAAGCATAATGCAATAAACAAAAAGTTCAATAGAATACCAGGATATTGTAAATTTGTAATTAATTTTATTCAGATGAAGATTACAGTCAATGAGAAACCTGTGATTGTTTTTTCTTCGCCAATTCTGGGATACGCGGAGGAGTGCTTGAAAGGGCACAATGCAGGTCATTTTCTACCTCTAATCTACTACGTTGCTTCGTTTTAATTTGCAACAGAGTTGAAAAGCCTGACTCACAAAGATATGTCGACACAAACGGAAGCAATGCACGGATAGCTCTTTCTGCCACTTTTGGGTAGGAATCGCACATCAAGGGCCAAAATTCTGTGATTGATTTCTCATCGAACATATCTCTTGCTCCCGAATCAGTTTCCGGTTGAGAACCCCTGCTCTAGTGAATGGAATGAAGGCATTACTTGACAATGTAGCATTAAACAAAAATTAAAACAATTGGGAAAAATAATAGAGTTCTTCAGTTTTTTGGTTGTCCTCACCTGAAATTTATGCATGAACCTCAATGATTGCAAATGCAACCTTTCTTTTGTCAGGTAGAGTAATATTCTGCAGTTAAAGTGACACTGAACTTCTTGATAATCACCCAAATATTTGGCGAATTTAAAGTATCACACCGGTCTTTATTTCCGTATTAAAAATATGTATCTCATAATGTTTACACAATTCAAAGACATTTTCCTTCCATGATATTTCCACCAGAAATTAAGGATAACCGAGATATTAATTTTTCAAGATTATTACTTTCGCTCGGTCACAAGTGTTGCCATGATTTGTTTACTTATGGCGGAGGTGGTCTGATTCCCTGCTCACGCATGGCTCCAGGCCTCCGATGGGAGGTTAGGTTAGGTTTTCTTGGTTGGTTGGGAATATAATTTATTTATTCTAAAAAAATCCAACTTTTTCCGTTATGATTGTTGGGTGGTGGGGTGTTATCTACAAAACACGTGATTTTCGGTGGAAATGAATATGAAATTCGTTCGAAACTCTTCTATATACATAGGAAAACCTGTTTTTAATATCGAAATAAAGACCGGTGTGATACTATAAAATGACCAAATATTTTATTTGTTAAGTCCCAAAACACACTCAACACTCACCCATGAAAGTACTTAACATTACCCAGGCCCTGAAAAGTTATGTAATGATTACTGACATATTGATTTTTCTAATACTGGCACCATCACAATTCTAAATAACTGGTACTTGTCAAAAGCATTCTACTTACAAAATGAGAATAACACTTCATAATGACAATATGTTCAAATTGACACTAACAGCCATTGTATTATTATTGGGGATTTCTGGCTTTCATTATCAGTTTTTCTCAGAGTTTAATTGGGGAAGAGAGTTAAAAATCCTGTGTCACAAAGCCAGGTTGTGTGACCCTATAGTTATTGAGTGACAGGCGTAAGGGAGTTAAGCAAATTGGGCCAGCAACATTTGCGTTCAATATTGTACTTACTTATGCCTCCTCCACAACCTACACCACGAGCAAGATATTTTTGCCACCACGGTAGATCCACCTGAGGTGCTTGAGTTGCCATATCTGCTGATTTCTTGGTGTTCTTAATATAATGTAACTTCTAAAGGAGATTTCAGCAGCCAACTAGACCGACCTCGTCGATGATGGTGACAGCTGACAACAAATGACGGCGAGTAACACCTGGGCCTCAAAGGGGTAACAATTACCAACTACTAGATCCATTACTTTCACTTTGTTATAGTTTTGAGACACTATTTTTATTATTATGTATAAACATTGCTTTCATAATCGTATGACTGTTTTACTACTAAAGTTTATTCAAATGAAATGCCCTATTGCTACGAGACTATTACTTCGCTGCGTGCCTGCTACAGCTTTATCTAATCATCATTCTAATGTTTTACTTTTACTTTTATCCTCTGCACCACTGATCGGCTCGTTAGTCGCTTGGGCTCCAATGTATAATTTAATGAGTCATAATGACATACCACCATCAGTGTCAAGACCTGACTGAATGACTCGGAATAGGCAGACTGTACTCCAAGCTTTGTCAATAAATTTGTTAAACTAAAAACATATCACTTGACACATGCGTATTCTGAAGGGTAGTAAAGCTTTGTAGAGTAAGACTTCTCTCCCTGTTAAGTGCGGATAGAATGGCAAAACATATTTTATGCGACAAACCCGGCAGAAGACCTCGCGGTTAAAGACAACTTATTCAAGGGCCGACAGTGCATAACAGAGACGTGACCGATCGTGCAAGCGGCTAACGAGGCGATCAGTGGTGAAGAGGATAAAAGTAAGGTGGGGGGGGGCGGGCCTGGAGGTCCGGACTCCCCTTTTCACCAGAAAATTCCAATACTTTTTCTTTAATGTAGTACTGTACTGTACTGTACTCAGGCATTTTTGTATAGTAAAAAGTATAGTGTTGTTCAGATTTAACTGTTCCCTAGTTCAAGATAAGGCCAGGCCAAGGTGCAAATATTACAGGGGAAATTACAACGGGATGAGGGAAGAGATGAGGGGGTTGCGGTGAGCATCATGCCTGACGAAAACATACTCGGCAGTGAGTAGTGCAGGAGGGATGTGTTCAGGGCGCCGAGGAGGCTGGCGTGGAGCAGTAGCTCTGAATGCAGAAACTGCTTGTTGTAGCTTTTGGAGTAAGTCGTGACGAACGGCAGGAGTGGATTGGTGGAGGTCAGGAGGGAGTGAGAAATCTCCGGGTAGGCGAAGGGGCTCGCCTAGGGTGAGATCTGCTGGGCTACAGTCCATGTCCTCCTTGTGTGATGCACGGATGCCGAGGAGCACTAAGGGTAGCGCATCCGTCCAGCTGTAAGGGTCGTGCTGCGCCTTGAGTGCGTCCTTCAGCTGCCGGTGAAACCGCTCTACCATGCCGTTGGATTGAGGGTGGTATGCGGTAGTGCGTTGCCTAGAAGTGACGAGGAACTGTAGGAGGCTGTGCCAGAGTTGTGACTCAAACTGGGCTCCTCGGTCAGTGATGACGGTTGCAGGAGGGCCGAAATGGGAAACCCAACCGGACATGAAGGCGCGGACGGCAGACTCTGCTGTAGCATTGGGCATGGGGATGGCTTCTGTCCACCTGGTGAAACGGTCGATGCAGGTGAAGATGTAGGTGCTACCGCAGGATGATGGAAGAGGTCCCACGATGTCGAGGTGTACTACTTGAAAACGCCCTTTGGGTCGGTAGAGAGATCCGTCCGTCCATTATTGCGGAAGTGCGTCAAACCTGTTTGGGAAGGATCAGGGATGGGTGCTTGTTCCGACCCCTTTCCGTGTTCACAATCTCCTGGGAGGGAGGTGAAGAGTTGCAGGGGGGACTTCGGGACGAATACACTTTTTAGGGTGCAGGTCCTTAGGCCAGAACTAAAAAAAAACAAAAGAAAAATAGGAGAGTAGGCAAAAGAGCTCAAACCACGTTTGGAATATAGCACATTAGTTGCTCTCCGGCTGTGATGTGGGTCACTCGCACCGCCAGTGGGGAGAACAGACTAATGCGTTATAAGCCTTACGGTCGTGAGATGTGGAGTAACAGGTGATGCTGGTAGGGCGGTTGGCCCGGACTGGTAGCAAGCAGGGCGATCCTCACAGTAAGGCAGCAGAGGGAGTGTGGTGTTCACAGCTCCAGGGGTCACCAATTGTAGCGTACTGTATGTGGCCAGTTGTCAAAATCTCTTTGCTTGTCTATTATCTCTTTGTATGGGCTCACAAACGTACGTACATGTAGATATCTCACACTCAGGATTGAGGTAGAATAGAAACTCACAATTCGTTTTCTGTATATATATTGTTGTACAGTGCAGTGCTAAGGAGTTACAAGGTGATGAGTAGTTTGCTCAGAGGTCCTGTTGGGCGAGGAGCTTTCTGAGGGAGCTGGTTGGTGAGGCGCTGTAGAGAGGTCTTGCTGGTCCAGTAGGTCAGAGTAGAATGGTCTCCCGATGATGATGATGATAATGGCGATAAAATGGCAATGGTTTGCCATGGGAAGGGAGAGAAGAGGTAAGGTAGAAGGAAAGTTATGAAACGGGAAGTAAAGTAGTAGAAAATAAGAGCACGCGTGCTATCCACCTAGCAGAGACGATTTGATTGGCTGTGGTGAAGGCCGCACTTAGAGGTCGCCCGAGCTCAAAGGGAACAGGGGGGGGCTAAGCTAGCTAGCAAGGAGTTGTTTATTATTGTGTTAGTTGGAGAAGTCTACTAGGTCCTTGTGTAACTTGTAAAACACTCTCATCTTTTATTTTCAATATTATGGTCGAAAATAAGGTGTGACTGGCGTCAAGAAGTTATTTATGCTGTGGTGTATAATGGGTCTGGCTCTAGGGTGCTTGTTGGTGTTGGTCAAAAGGAGGTGTAGATAAGGATGTGTTATTTGTGTACTGTTTAGTGTACAGTAGTTCTGGCTCTTGAGGGTTATAGAGAAGGCTTTTTGGCCACCAGTTGTGTGATCTTGTGGTGTCCTCTGTTTTTAGTTGATTATATATTTCGTCTTCCATGACTTCTAGTTTGTACCATACTCCCTGTGCTTGTCTGTATGTTCATATGTTTAATGGTAAAATGTTGTATTTTTCGTGAAGCTCTTTAATTTTGGTTGCGTTGTAATGGATTCCTCCCCTACAAACGTTTGTCGCTGAGTAGCCGACCCCGCGAATTCCCCAGTGTATGCCTCGTGGTCTAGGTCAACCAGCGCCGCCTTACATGACGGAGGTCAACTATTAAGCCACGCCTTCCTCCGCTATATAAGACCTGACCTCGTGGTGACCTACCTCTCTTCTTCTAGCTACAGCCGCAGCAAGCAACACCTCCTCCTCCACTCCTGCCTGGCGGCCCTCGCTCCCGCCGGCGAGCATGGCGACCCACAAGCTGGTCCTACTCTGAGCACCCTCACCAACCAGCTCTCTCTGCACCAAGCTGCATTGTACATCCAATACAATATGTATACAGAGAGCACATTGTGAGTTTCCTTTCTCCATCCCATCCTGAGTGTGAACCCAACATCTCGTACCCCACAGTGTATGGGGGACGTTGTTTGGAGGCTCTGCGGATGGCCTTGTTTTGTTTTGCCTGGAGTTTTAATTGGTTGGTATGGCTGATCGTGTTTAATGGTATTGGCGGGTACATAAGAACATAAGAATGGAGGAAACTGCAGCGGGCCTATTGGCCCTACTGGGCAGTCCCGTTTACACCCAACCCCTATTGCTCATATGAGCATCCAACCTATGTTTGAAGCAATTCAGCGTATTCGAGTTAATGATGATATTTGGTAACTTGTTCCATTCATCCACTACTCTGTTTCCAAACCAGTGTTTATCTATTTCACGCCTAAATCTAAATTTGTCTAATTTAAAACCATTGTTACGAGTTCGCTCCTGGTTGGATAGTTTGAGTACCTTTATAATGTCCCCTTTGTTTAGCCCTGACTTCCACTTATACACCTCTATCAGGTCGCCCCTCGCTCTACGTCTCTCGAGGGAGTGCAAATTAAGGTGCTTTAACCTGGGTATTCAAGATGGGGGTGGACAAATGCTTTAAATAGGTGTAGATGTATTTTCTCTTCCATTTTACCGAATCTTCTTAATTTTGTAAGCTGTATTTGGGCTAGTCTATTGCGTTCTGTTATGTGTTTATTTATTCCTGTTCTTGTTATTGTTAGCCCCAGTATTTTTCCTTCGTTTGAGTATTGTATTTCTTCGTTGTTTACTGTGATTGGGGCTGGGTTTATCCTTGAAATGTGTATGATTTTCAGTTTCTGTGTATTAGTTTTTATTTTTCCATTTTTTCTCGTATATATTGATTTGTATTATGACGCGAGCTGTTTTTGATGCCATCATCTGTTTGGCCTTGCCTGGATGGTGGATGATCTGGGTGACATCATCAGCATATGCAATGTATTCACCGTGAATTGGTGGCGGCATGTCTGAAGTGTAGATTGTGTGAAGAGTTAGGGATAAATTACTTTCTTGTGGTACTCCACTATAAAGTCTGAAGCTTGGGCCTTTGTGATTGCCTATTATAATGTGTGCTTCTCTATGGTCTAAGAAATTACAAAGTAGAGAGGTGAAGTTGTTAGGGAGTTCTTGATTGGTTATTTTATATTTAAGTCCCAAGTGCCAGACCTTATCGAACGCTTTTGCCAAGTCCCTTAAAACTATCAGGGTTGCCAACTCGGATTTTCAAATGTCGCTAGGCTGGTACCTAAAAGTGGCTAAATGTCGCTAAATCTTCCATGGAAAGTCGCTAGCTATTATTCCCCCCCTTCAGTAATTTGATGCAAATAATATTTTCATAATGCCGATTATAATGGACGGAGTATAAATAAAATGCATTATGTAAAAATATCGTTTTTCAGATTTTCTGTGAAATGTGGCGCAAGAATATTGCATATTACCCCAGAACACTTTGATCTTTTTAACTTGAGTTCACTGCCTGCCTTGCTGTCACTAAAACATACTTTACACACTTCACTTAAGTGTTCTACCACACGAATAGAACAATGTTCAGCTACAAACATGGCCAGAGTTCCCTCCACTTTTTTGCTTCAAGTTTCTTGAATGGTAAAATTGTCTGTCTTTCTGCACTAAACGGCTCTTCTGCTTTCTTGTGTTTTTTAGTGTTTTTGTGTTTTTCAATGTCGCACAACTTAGCAGACAAAGTACACTTGCAAATTTACAAAATCCTTTTTTATTATCTCCTGGCACCTCCAGAAGCTAATTTTTGTATCTGTCATCTCTGAGCCATTCCTTCCTAAATCGCTGAGAATACTGGGGCTTACCCATTTTCTATTGGGACTATGAAGGGTTCAAATTAATAAACAGCATGCAAACAAGCGGAAAGTTTCCTTGATGGTTTTTGGCACAGCGGGTGAACAGTGTCGGGGCAACTGTATGGAGTCTATGGGTCACCCATGGTGGACGCGGATGACAAGTTTGGAACCACGCAGGCTTGATAGAATTAATTCTATAAGATGTTTTGCTAATATTCTTTAAAATTTAGCGTATTAATGAAATTCATATTGCATATCTGACAAAAAGGTAAGTTACCCAGGTGCTACAAAGGCGAAGGTAATAGACAAATAAATGACGACACGGCAACATAAGCCATGGACGGGCTGACATCAAGTGATCAGGAAATAGACGTGTCCCTCCTTCTGTACCACGACCCGTTCAAATGTATTAAACTTTTCTTATTATTTATTGTCCCTGTAACCCCGTTGCTCTATATTATGGCTCGAAATTAGGAAAACTGAGTTTTCATGGACAGTCCAAAAGTATCCAGAAAGTCGCTAGATTTCTGTGGATATCTTTAGATTTGCGACAAGTCACAAATCGCTCTAAAATGTCGCTAGAAAAAAAAGCTCTAGATCTAGCTACAAAGTCGCTAAGTTGGCAACTCTGAAAACTATGTTGCACTGTTCTCTATTATGCATTGCGTTTGCTATACTTTCGTATATAAGGGCCATGGCTGTGTTTTTTCCTCTGTGTTTCCTAAATCCGTGTTGTCTAGGGTTGTATTTGTATTCTAGTTCCAGGTGTGTTCTTAATTGGTGGATAATTTTTGTTTCTAAAATTTTTCCCGGAGTTTCTGATAGAGAGATTGGTCTGTAGTTTGCTACTGCTGTGGGGGCTTTTCCTGATTTTGGTATCAGTCTGATAATTGCTGTCTTAAATTTCTTTGGGTAGTGGCCTGAAGCTATGGATGCATTAAATATATTTCTTAGTAGAAGTACCATGTTGTTTGGTAATTGCTGTAAAATGAGTTTATTTATTTTACTGACTCCAGTAGCCATGTTCTTAAAACTGCTGATTGTCCTTGCTATTTCTTTTACTTTACTTTTATCCTCTTCGTCACTGATCGGCTCGTTAGCCGCTTGGGCGATCGGTCACGTCTCTGTCACGCACTGTTGGCAAGTACTGGGCATGCACCGGCTCCTGAATGTACCTGAACCCGCTCCAGTGTTGGTCAAGTCTTGTCTTGAAAGAGCTCACACTCGGTGCCGTCACAACACTTTCTGGTAGATTGTTCCAAGAGTTTACAACCCTCACTCCGAAAAAGTTTGCCCTCACGGTTTTCTGGACCTGCGGCTTCTTCAATCTTGAGCTGTGACCCCTTGTGGGGCGAGCGTCTGCCAGCTCCAAGTAAGGACACTCGACTGAGTAGTGCCCCCTGAGATGCTTATACACTCCGCATAGCCTCAGACCTCTTCACTTTAGTTTCTCATCAGATCGCTTCAACCTATCTTCAGATCACTAACTTCAGTCCAACCTTGCCTCAGTCTCTCCTCAAAACCAATTCTCTGTAACACGGGCGCGACTGACACATTGATCAGTCCGACCACCTCAACAGTGTCTCAACGACCGTATAAATATGGCGGAATTGCTTTTAGACTCGGACATAAGAGTATGGGTCTTTTTACCCATTGTACTCATCACATTCCTCTGTGGAATCCTGAGGCATTATGTGAGCGTATTAATCTCCACACAGAAGAAAGTAGATCTAACACAACTTCAGGATAGGTAAGTGACAGGTGTCAAGTGTTTCTGACCTTAAGGTAAAATTTCACTTGTTGCCATTAAATGAAATTGACGTTGAACTATGTTTTTCCGATAGTTTTGGGTGAGCTGTGCACGAATTTTACCTTCATTTTTGGCTCAAATCAATAGTTTCTGAGGTAAACGACCGGAAGAACATAGTTTTGAATCCAACCTAACTTAACCTAATCTGGTATTATGGGTCCGGCTAATTACCCAAATGTAGCCGCATGAAGTCAAATAATGGTCCTACATGAATAAATCGGGCTGTGAATCACTTCTCGACCAGTATTTGGTGTCATAAAATCACAAAAAATTGGTAAACTTAATTTAATCTGAGTTGTGTTGTGTTAGGTTAAGTTAGGTACATGCACTTGATCTATTAGCTCAGATTAAATTAAGTTTACCAATTTTTTGTGACTTCGTGACACCAAATACTAGTCGAGGTTAGGTTAGGTTAGGTTAGGTACATGCACTCGATCTATTAACTCAAATTAAATTACGTTTTCCAATTTTTTTTTACTTTGTGACACCAAATACTAGTCGAGAAGTGATTGGTAACCCGATTTATTCATGTAGGACCATTATTTGACTTCATTGCAGCTACATTTGGGTAATTAGTCGGACTGGGTATGTATTATCGCTTCGGGTATCCAGCGATTTTTAATATATATATATATATATATATATATATATATATATATATATATATATATATATATATATATATATATATATATATATATATATATATATATATATATTCAAATTTCACTTATGCACCAGTCTTTGTTTGGATATTAAAAATATCCAAACCGTTTCTGTTAGAAAGTCAAAAATTTATTTTTCTAGTGTATTTGTGTGTGTTTAGAATGAATATGACTTTCATTTCTGGGGAAAATTAGCGTTTTTTTTTCGTTGGACATTTTCCGAAAAACTCATGGCAAAATACACCAAAAAACACTAGAAAAACAAAACCAAACCTAACCTAACTTAACTGACTCACCAAATGATGGAATCACCTATTTCTTACCTTATTGGCTTGGTTCTTGTTCGTCGTTGGATTCTGAGATTCTTACACAACGTCACATATGTTGGTCTTTGCGACATTTACATTGTCTTGCTCTTAGTACACTTTACTGAGGTTGGAAGAACACCATGCGATTGAAAAAATGCTACAGTTTCTTCGTCTTTTTCCCAAAAACTTGCAATCAGCTCCATATGATTGAAGTGACTCCTATCGCAGACTGCCATGGTCGGAACTGAAATTACTGAACTTGAATTTCGAAATATGAGACCCAAAGTAAAACTCGAATTTGATTGGGCCAAATATACCGCGAATTTAACCCCAAATCATTTTATTTTGTTTCAAAAACAAAAATGCTTTTGATTGGCCGCATGACGTGTACGGGAACGCATGCGCGTGATGATTTATGAAGGAGACGCAGGAGACACGCAGTGTTGGAGGAGAGGCTGACTATAATGGCGGAAGATTAATGGAAGAAAATAGAGAAAATTTTGGATAAGCTATCTCCGTTATTTTACATTTTGCCCGGTAATGTAATACTAGATGAAAATTATCTTATTATTAGACGTCTTATTCGAATATGATAATAGATTAGTGGTAGGAATGAACGGTGTGTAAACGCAATAATACCAAAATATGTTTTTCCAATGTTATTTGATTAGTTTCAAATGAATTTTTTAGTTTGAGTACCTTTGTAATGTCCCCTACATTACAAAGGTACTCAAACTATCCAACCAGGAGGGAACTTGAACAATGGTTTTAAATTGGACAAATTTAGATTTAGGCGCAAAATAGATAAACATTGGTTTGGAAATAGAGTAGTGGATGAGTGAAGTTACCAGCATCATCATTAACTCAAAAACACTAGATAGCTTCAAACATACTGTAGGTTGGATGGATATATGAGAAATAGGGGTTGGGTGTAAATGGGACCAATAGGCCTGCTGCAGTTTCCTCCATTCTTATGTTCTTTAGACCCCACCCATCAATCCTAAATCACATAAAATACCAACCAACCAACAAAACCAAACCTAACCTGACCCAACCTAACCTATCATAACACTATTTTTCTGATGAAACTCTGCAGTGGATGATGCAGTAATGCATCGGCCTGTCAGTTGTCATTATTAAGCGTATTTTTAAACCAAATATCAATGACAGACAGTGAACAGTTATTATCTGGAGAAATCATATTTTACCCCACATTTTCCCTCTACATTACAGTACTTCAAAGCCCTGCATACTTTGAACAACTAATATTATAGCTAATTTTATTTGTTAAAATACAGGGGGGCCTCCCCAAGTTTGCAGTTTTTATTTCGCAGTCCTCTATTATTCGCGGATGACACCCTGAATGTACCCAAGATTGTCTGTGGATAGTTTTAAAGTTGTTATTTGGAGATTTGGCGATTCACGGCCATTTTGAGAACCTAACCCCCTCGAATTTGGGGGGGACCCCTGTACGTAAAACTAAAAATTTCCGACTGAAATGCAATCGAATAAATTTAATTTTTTGCTCTTTCTCCCTTGAGAAGACTTAATTTACAAATTGGTATTGGCAACTTCTAAATATTAACTATAATTTGCACCAGAAATGCCGTTGAAGAAAAGTGTTTTAGAAATGTCAAAATTACTGATTGCAACTAAAAAAAATCCCAAAATTCGTTTGGAGGCAACAAGTGAAATACAGTAATACTCTTGAGGTAATTAGAATTTTTCTAAACACATAAAAAACCATTGGAAAAGCATAGTTTTGAATCTATCCTAACATACCTAACCAAACCTAACCTAACCAGGAAGTCCACCCCCCAGACCCCCTATCTTGCCTGTACACAGAGTTGTAAAGTAACTCAATAAATTTACTTGAGTACTGTACTCAAGTAACTTTTTGGGTATTTATTTTTTAAAAAGTACTCTTTTTTTTGTACTTTTGCATAAGTATGACTTTCTAATACTTTTAGTCAATACAATTGAAAAAATAAAATTTGTAACTCATTACATGCCCCCAAACAGAGTTTTAATGTCTGTGGCAAACCGTGGAAGGTACGGTGTGGGGAGACACTACACACTCAGTTTTTTTTTAGTTTTTTTTTTACGGAGATTAGCCCACCCGGGCACAGGTCACTGACCCACATCAGGGCCTGGGGGACAAAAATGTAATAATAATACTAATTCATAGTAAATAAAATTTATAATAAAAAATAAAATATTAATGGTAATAATGATAATAATAATAATAATGATGATAATAACAATAAATACAGGTACAAAGAAATACAAGAATGAAAAAAAATCAATAGTGAGAAATGCTATATGTATGTTGTGTTTTCATGTAAGAGAAATAATTGAGACCCTACAATTGTGTGTAAATGAGGCAGAAAGTCAGATCAGCATCCTGGGACTTGGTCACAATTTACGTGATGCCATATGGCAGCAGGGTCTACCATTAGACAATACATTATGCTTCCAATATCTTGCCCCAGAGAGGGCTAGTTTATTGGGCACCCCCTTACATCCTGTGCAAGGTGAAGCGCAGAAGCGTTTACAGTGCCCATCTGGGAAGCATGCTGAGTTCATGCTTACCTTTATGACTCATGCATTAAGGGCGTAAAAGCCTGAAGGGTCATGGGTTTTGTCAGCAAGTTACATAAAGTGACAAAATGATGTGTGTGTGGGGGGGGGAAATTTCCCGGTACAATTTATCTGTTTATGGCAAAGCGTGGCAGGTCCCTAATAATGTCAAGTGCCAGGCCATAGCTATAGGCATTGACACCAACTGAGCGGACTACGGCGTTGATGCTGTACACCACGAGGCGTCCCAGCCCATGCCATGCTGTCGTACAGGACAGAAACGTTTCGGTACTAGAAAATACGTACGTACCGGTAATTTGAAGAAAAAATTATACGACTGCGGCGGTCGTAGGTCCGGGTGGTCGCAAGTCGAGTAGGTTGTAAGTCAAGGAGTACCTGTATTTGTATTTGACAGGTTTGACCAAAATAAACTGTATCTAGTTGACGTGGCAGGTTAATCTTGTTCGGGGCGATTAAAGCACCTTTTCTACCTTTTCATGAGATAAAAAGGCATTTATCTTCTATGGTGATATTTAAGTCCTAGACTACCATATTCAGTATGTTACTACATTTTATTAAAAAATGTGTTGCAGTACTGTACAGTACTTATTGTTTATCTTTATTATACTGTGTGTATTGGTACAGTACAGTACAGAGGTTATCACAGCCTTTTTAAATTTCCTAGTTAGTTCCACTACCTTAATACAGTACCATAGCTTGTTTTAAATAATACAACAGTATATTTGGGTTAGAATTTACAATTAATTATTGAAGTATAGTGTACAGCATGTATGGTTTTTAAAATGCTTGTAGACTCTCAACAAAAACTTTTTGAACACCTGGGCACAATGGATGTGAGAATGAGCAGAATTGGGCTTGTCATCTCAGAATGGTTTCAGGATCTTCGCTCATTTTTCAGATTGCATAGTGCTTATAGCATTCGAGAAGTTTCAGTGAGAGTGTACAATACATACTGGTATGCATGTACAGTGAGTTCTGCTATAACGCGTGTTTTGATAACGCGAATTTGCTCTAACGCGATTTATGAATAGAGGAACGATATTTGTATAACGCGAACGCTTGTTTGCTGTAACGCGATTTTTGCTTACTATTTCTCCAATTTTGTGGTATTAACTGTGAATATGGTAAAGAAGAATATCTCCAAGAAGCGTTCTGGTGATCGAATTCCCGGTGATGATCGTAAAAGAAAGGATATAACACTTGAAGAGAAGCTCGATGTTATCAACCTCAAAATCACCCTTCTCCCCCATCAAGTAAAGTGTTACATTTACTGTATGATTTCATTATTAGATATGAATGTAACATTTATTTAGACTGTGCTATCCTTTGTGGTAGGCTAACTTCTAAATTTTTTCGATTTTGAGTAATCTGCACCTAACCCTATTTTTTCCATAAGCCCTGTTATTTCTATTACGCGATTTTCTATAACACGATATTTTACAAGAACACAACTATCGCGTTATAGCAGAACTGACTGTACAGTACTTTATTTCAAAGCTAGTTATTGTTTAAATGTGAACTTTCCTTGATATTTGCAGCCAAGCTATGATTCGATCAAGAATGCTGCGAGAGAATGGGAAATACATACCTGAACAGTCCTTCCTCATGCGTCGACATTTCTTCAATAATGATGAATCTGGTATGGAATTTTCTTTAGAATCATGGATGTGAATTGTTGGTATAAGTTTAAGTTAAATCAGCTGAAGTAGGATGTCTTATGATGATTTTGAATTTTGGAAAAGTCAGCAACTGGGCTGTAGCTCACCCACATGTAAGGTTCAGTATTATATTACACTCAATGAGTAACACTTTCATTGATGGTGTACTGACAAAAGATATGTTAAAGAATGATCAGATCTTATTTGATTTAAAGTAAAAATTCATACTATACATAAACACTGAACAAGGATAACAGGATAACATATGAAATACTAAAAATCTACTGTACAGTATTCCATGTTTGTAAAGTGTTATGGCTCACTGTATATGATATTGGAGCTGTCATTAAATAATTTCTTCCATTAGATTTACAATACAGGTATATATATATATATATATATATATATATATATATATATATATATATATATATATATATATATATATATATATATATATATATATATATATATATATATATATATATATATATATATATATATATATATATATATATATATATATATATATATATATATATATACAGTACCCCCGCTTAACGCGGTCAATTGAACCCACAGGGTACCGCGTTAAGTGAAAACCGCGTTAAGTGAACAACAGAACATATGGGATTAATTCCAATAGAGACTGGCCCGACCCCCAAACTCCACTTTTTGACGACACACAACTATGTTGTAGTAAAAATTTTATCTTAACTTTATGATGGTATGCACACACAATTAATAATTAAGAGAAATATCAATAATAATAGGTTTTTTAACACTTGCATTAGTAGAAAAGATGGCTGGGCACACGGGGATGGGGGGTTGGTTCCGAGGCAGAGGGCAGATTATTGGCCCTCACCTGTATCACTTGTATCAATTGTATCACTATCCACCACAGAGGCTTGCAGGGCCTCTTTGTCAAACCCCTCAAAGGCCATATAAGTCCATATCCTCACTATAATTATCACTATCACTGACTTGGGCCGGCTGTGGTGGGTGGCGGGTGAAGAACTCGGTAATGTTTTGATGACTGGGCGACCTTGTGCGCATCGTGCCCGCGCCGCTTCCCGCGTATATGATGAAAAATTCCGCGTTAAGTGAAAGTTCAGCTCTGGCGAGGCACCGCGTATATGATAAAACGCGTTAAGTGAAACCGCGTTATATGTATATATATATATATATATATATATATATATATATATATATATATATATATATATATATATATATATATATATATATATATATATATATATATATATATATATATATATATATATATATATATATATATATATATATATATATATATATATATATACAGTATATCAAGTTGGCGTGATCTGTATATGCTAATACCCAAGCTTATATATATATATATATATATATATATATATATATATATATATATATATATATATATATATATATATATATATATATATATATATATATATATATATATATATATATATATATATATATATATATATATATATATATATATATATATATATATATATATATATATATATATATATATATACAGTATTATATATGTGATATTCAGAAATTTCAGTGTAATTTCAAACGCCGCGCCATTGGCGATACTGAGCTTTCAAGGTCGTCTGAGGGAAGAGAGTGCTCCCTGCACATAGTGAGAGGTTGTGGAACTGGGCCTATATGATATTAAATGTAATTTGCCAAATTAATAACGATGCAATTCATGAAGTTAAGGGACTATTATTGAATTTGAAATTATTATAGATCGTTTATCAGTCTGAATAATGTTTCGGGTGTCCCAAGGAGTTATTAGTTAGGCGGAAAATATGTCATGTAGGCCTAAGCTAACGCCTTGAGAGGACACGGGGCTGGCTAGCTCTCAGTCACGGGGAAGCATTCAGACAAACAAGATGTCCCTGCGCGTCCGTCACAGAAATAGTCACGTGGCCTAGTCACCTGTGCTGCGCTCTTGCAGTATAACAAATAAGTCTCATTCGATCTCAGATAGGGGTTAGATAGGGCAGTGATAAAGTTATTAAGAGCTAACAGTGAGTCAATTTCAGGGTTTCCGTCAGAACCCACTTGACTGCGAGAAATTGACTGCGAGAGTGATGACTGCGAGAGATTGACTGCTGTTTGAGACTGCCGTTGAGGATTGATGATTGGCGATTGTCGCCGTTGGAACGATCAGTGCAGGCTTGTCACTGGTTAGCGAGGAGCAAAGGATCTCTTGAGTGAACGAGTGCTCCCGACAACTAAAACGATACGGGGCCAGCATCAGCATTGGGTGATCAGTTCTTACCCCGTGGGTGCACAACACCACACCACGTGTCCTCGGTCAGCTAGAAGTATTACCTACTGGCCATAGTCACCTGTTGGCGTTCTCTCTTCCCGCCCATGGACGCACTGAGAGTACATTGAGGCTATCTGAGTAGATTAATGGTCACACACTGAGACCAGGAGTCTAGGGGATACCTAGAGAAACATTTTATCTCCCTTACTACGGGTGTATGTTGAATTGGGTGGAGCATGGTTCACGGGTATTAGTGGACCCAGTAACATCTCAATAATAGTGACAATATTATTGTGTGTAGTTAGTACAGGTACCATTTTTTCAGTTACTGATATTATCTTGACGTGTGTAGTAATAGTTCTTAATTGATTTTGATAGTATTGTTTTGAATGTTTGTGTCACTAAGTGGAACCAGAGTGATACTGTGATTTAATTCCTTTAATGCATTTAATTTTTCTTTATAATTCCGATCTCAGGTATAACCTTTGTTCCCCAGAGTAGTGTTTAAGTTAGGTTAGGAATTGTGCATCTGTTGGGGTGATATAATTTTGTTGAAAGCCCTTAAGGCCTGTTTCATGTGTGAAAGCAACATTTCTTAATACTTTAAATTTATTGTTGCCTGAGTTTCTAATAATTTCAATATCATGTATAACTTTTATTCCCCAGAGTAGTGTTTTAAGTTCAAGTTAAGAGGTGCGCATATTGGTGTACCATTATTTGATTGTGTCTGTAGTGTTGGAGGGAATATAAGTGTCTAAATTTTACAGTGTGTGTGTCATTCATCCCAGTCACAGACGCTATCCTTCCACGGGTCACGGACAATTCATTTTGTTTAGTAAAGTTAAGTGCTCTTGTGCTGCTTCTGGATTTTTCTCAAAGGGGCTCTTCCACTGCGATTACCATCTAACAATCTTTAATAAACCCCAAGTCAAGTGAGAAATTAAAGTCCAGTAAATTCCAACCGGTTATATGTATGTATATATATATATATATATATATATATATATATATATATATATATATATATATATATATATATATATATATATATATATATATATATATATATATATATATATATATATATATACAGTGGGGTATGCTATAACGAACGGATCCTACTACGAATATTCCTATAACGAACGGTTTTACCTATAAAATTGAGAATGCTATAACGAACGAAACTCCTACAACGAACATAATTTAATTTTTTTTTTTCTAATTTATTGTTTTATTATTACAAATATTAATGATATTCTTTATTTCAGGGGTTTAGATGCATATTTATGCACTTTTTTACAATTTTTACAATTTTATATTATATTTTTCAGTGTTAAGTGGTTGTATTTGGGGGCCTGGAACGGATTAATCCTATAACAAACGAATGCTATAACGAACAAGGTTCTAGAACCAATTAGATTCGTTATAGCATACCCCATATATATATATATATATATATATATATATATATATATATATATATATATATGTATATATATATATATATATATATATATATATATATATATATATATATATATATATATATATATATATATATGTATATATATATATATATATATATATATATATATATATATATATATATATATATATATATATATATATATATATATATATATATATATATATATATATATATATATATATATATATATATATTTATTTATTTTGTGTATTTTGCAGGCTACTTAAAGACTGTAAAGCGTGCATCGGCTCCACAACCTATGACTGACCCAAATATGATGGTAGAAATGCTTAAAGGACAATTAACAAATATGCTACCCATGATTGCCATCGGAGGCTGGATCAACTGGACTTTTTCAGGATTTGTTACAAGTATGTCGCATAAAAATTTGTGTTTGCAGCATAGGTATTTAGAAAAAATTGTGTGAAGTCGTATTTTATTATATAAATGTAATTACAGGTGCTCCTCTACTTACGAACGAGTTACGTTCCTGAGGCCTGTTTGTAAGTCCAACTTTACTCCTGTAGATACCAAACATATTGTAAAAAATTAAAAGATTATGGATATTTAGTACAGCTATACCCTTTAATACAGCCTTAAAACCTGGCTCACTCTTCTCCTCTTAGGTAATGTTTGTTCTATCTGGAATTTTCTTCAAAATAATCCAGTCTCATCCACATTAAACACCTGTTCTGGCAGGTAACCCCCTCAGTGATGATGTTTGTATCTCTAAAAGTTTGTAAATTGAACTTTCTTAAGTAGAGGAGCACCTGTACATTAATTTAATACAGTACTATACCTCAAAACTAAGTTATTGTTAGTTATGTTATATTGAGAGGTTACAAGAGACGTCACAGGCCAGTCTTTTTACCAGAGACTGATGGAAGTATATTTCTTCAATTAAAGGGTGGTGTACTGTACATTGAACTAAATGTTGAAATGTAAATTGTAATCAAAAGCTCTTGTGCTTCAGTCTCTCACTATGAAAAGATCTTGACTGTTCTCTTAGGAGGTGCCAACCCATGGTGGGTAGTGCCTTTCCCATGATGTGCCCTTCACCTTTTACATTTTGACCCCCCAAAAAGAGATTAACAGTGAATATATGTATACAGTACTATATATGAACATTGTAACTCTTTCCAGTCTCCAATTCTGTTGTGGAATTGTTTAACTCTTTCCAGTCTCCAATTCTGTTGTGGAATTGTTATACAGGTACATTTTTCAGTTTATTTTGTCAGTTGCCTTTAATTCCATAATTGCTGCCATACAGACTTGGAATAATGCACATTTAAACCATTTTACTATATATTTGTTCGATTCAATCTAAATTTAACAAGATCTGGGCTTTAGTTAATTTTTTTCTCACATAAAATATGATAGTCACTCCATACCCAATTCCTGATTGCAGCGAACAGATGATTGTATCTCAAACCTTTAGGTATTTTGATGGCAAGTTTATCTTTTTAGTTTAAATATTTCTTCATATTGAGAACACCCTAAGAAACACAAAAGTTATTAGGGAAACATATCCCACTTACCACCTTTAGCCCACAGACTATATTATTATGTTAATTACCCACAAAATCTGCTCTATTCTAGAATTTTCAGGTTTGATGCTGTGGGAATTGTATACGTACCGTATATATACTTGATTACAGTTCAGGTTTTTATGAACAAAAATTCTGCCTCATTTACATACAATTGCAGGGTCTTAATTGTTTTTTTTACTTTTACAACACAACATATATATAATTTCTCACTCTGGATTTGTTTGTTTTTTCAGTGATCTGTGCATTGGTTGGTTAATCCTTGTTCAAAAATAAATAAATTACAATTATCTGATACAAATGAAGATTTACCTATACTGGTAATTGTCTTTTCATTTGCAACTGTGAATATCGCTGGCAGCATTGTTACCAAGTTAGACTTGTCACTGTACCCACATTCCCCCTAGCCCACTCCCTACCAAATGGAACTGTGAGGTGTTAAGTTATTTTTCTACTTTTAATTTTGGGTAGATATACAGTACATAACTTTTATAGTAGTATTTTTTATATATTCTAAGTTACATACGCACATGATACTACATGCATATTGTGCAAAAAAATATAAAAATAAATAATTATCATAAGGTCAAATACATAAAAGAAATAAACATTTCTTTGAGTGCAAGAGTCTTCATTAATTAACTCTCCCTCCCTCCCTCCCTCCCTCCCCTGTGCTTTGTTACAAAGCACGGAGTTGACGAGGGTAGACTACAACATTTTGTAGTCTTGTTTCTGATTATTTATGAGAGGATTTTTCCATTATTATGTATTTGTATATGTTTTGCGTGTGTGTTTCTATGCACGCACTTTGCGTGTGTTTGTTTCTACGCACACACACATATATACAATACTACAGGTAAAAGAAATTACTGTCTCTAGAACGAATGGCTCCCTGTCCTGGCTGCAAAAATCTGGACAACTTTAAAACTACCCTTAGACATTCTTGGGTACATCCAGGGTGCCATCCGCAAATAATCGAGGTCCGCGAATTAATAATCCGCGAATTGTCAGGGCATGCTGTATGATGTTTTAAGGAGGTAACTTCCAGTAAATTTGGTTGCACCACTTCACCACCTTATGTAGCACTCAACATCATTTCTAATAAGTAAAATTCGAGTGTTTTGTTCATTTATTATCATGAGTGACTCATTGTATGTGGTTAAAACCGTCTAATTTCATACATATATGTGCTTGTGTCACGTTATGGGGCCTCATGAAACTTCCGTCGGAAAGTATCTCAATTTTTATAATGGAAGTCAATGTGAACAATGGTTTCACCTTGCATAAAGATTTTCAAGAACGAAACCTTTCCGTAAACTGAGAGATGCCTGTCATGGGAGTTGTGAATTTGCATCAGCCATTTAACTTACCAGGTAGCCCTTTACTTTACATCTGTGATAATATTCCCTACTATATTTGTTTTTATTTTGCTTATCACCAGTATTTTATATTAGTTTTGTATTTGTAACACAAGATTTGTCTCTATTGTTCAGTAGTACAGTTCACTACTGTACATTATTACAGTACATTAATATTTGCGAGGGATAGGTGCCTGGAACACCAGTGGATGTAGAATTTCGTGAATAACAGTCTTTAATACCCTATTTTTAATATTAAAGTGAACCCTCGAAGATCTGGACTGAAAGGGGGGACCACCTGTCCGGAAAAGACGATTGTCCGAATTTTCCGGCGAATGTACTAAATGTATAAAAACGATAAATAATGATATAAAAACACCAAAAATACAGTACATATTATCCTGACTACTGGGGTTAATTGTACAGGCTTTTTCCTTTGAAAAAGCCATAATTTTGAGCAACATATTACTGTACTCGCTGTACTCAAATGTACTACACTAAAGAACTAAAAAAAATTTAATTTTTTGTAAAATATGTAATGTCTATACACGACTTATTCGCTATCTTGCAAGGATTCTAGCAATGCAAGTTATATTCTGCTTTGTTTAGTCTGTGAAATTTTGTAAGATAAAAACTTCAAGTCTAAAACTACCTTCACCCCTGGCAAGGGGGAGGTGAGGTGTTGACAGCCAGGCAGGGGAGAGGAGGGGGGTGAGGTGAGGTGAGGTATTGACCAGTTGGAGGGGAGATTACCCTGTGCGTAGTTATCTGTCATATAGAGGAAGTTTAGGTTTTTCGCTTATAAAATGTCACTGTATTGACTTGGGAGAATATAACTTACATTGCTGGCATCCTTTTGCAAGATAGTGATTAATTTGAATACAGTATAAACATGCTAGAGTTTGTAAAAGACATCAAAATTTTAGTAATTATTTAGTACATTTGAGTACAGTACAGGTTTGTCCTTTGGACAATTATTTCTTTTACTTTTTCACAATATGTATTTAGGATGGTGTGTGCTTATATATCAGGAAAAATAAATTAAGAAAGTTACGCATATCTACCCAAAAATACGAATTGAAAAACTTGTACAGGTTGTACCTCTCTAGTCCGGCATTCTGTGGTCCGGAAACTCCCGTAGTCTGGAACGATTTTAGTTTGTCCATGGAGAAAACTAATTTGAGTCTGGTACTTTAGACGTTTGGCTAAATTTTGCCTTATTTACCCCTACCTTTTTGGCGAATTACTACCTGTAATAAAGCAACATCCTAATAAACCAATGAAAATAACACATAAAATTAAATAAAAACTAAAAACAACACAAAAAAGTTCTTATGTTCTACAGTTTCAGCGAGAGTTGAGCATACGTCATCCGAGTAAAAACACACACAACATTGGCTGTCCTTATGTTTTCAACTTTACCACCACTGGTGGGTAGAATTTTTGTTTTAAATTCAGAAACATTAATTAAAATATAAATGAACAGTAAATAAGTGTTGCTTTCATATTCTTAGGTATAGTAATGACGATATGTTTTCACTTGTGGGCACTTACATACATGAGCTCACTTTTTTCTTTACCATTAATGGTTAGCTACTTATGCCCGGGTGGGCTAATCCCCATAAAAAAAAAATACTGTACAGTTGCGGAAATGTTTTCCTGCACCCCCTGTGGTAACCCCTGTCTCCAAATGGCAATGTTACAGAAGTAATTTCACGAATGGATGAGTATTGGTCATGTAATGACGGACATGATTGGCAGATCAGTTTGCTATAGGTCAAAATAGGTTGGCCACGGTGACAATGGTTACCACGGGGTATAGGAGCACATTTCCGTAATTGTACCATAAATTAAAAAAATATATATTTATTGAAGCCCTCCAAATACTACACAGATATGTACAGCTACTTAATACAGTTTAATTATGTGTTACTCAAAAATTAATTGAATGAAGTAAATGTGGGAAGTCAACTGGATTGCAGTAGCTGCGACACGTCATCTGCTGCCTGCCTCACACGGCCCGTACCTTCTGCCCCATCAACACGCACACAAATGCTCGCCTGACATGTAACACTGTGAATGAAACATGCATACATACTGAATTTAGGTTTTCCTGTAACCATTATGGGAGCAAAATAATTAGCAGTGTTACTTAAGTATATTAGCGTTATGTTTATAAAATATACTTTTCTTACCTCAATGGCTTCTGTAGAGGCCTCAGTAATGATACTGAAGATATTAGTGCTCCTCCTTTAAGACCTCTGGACAAGGATCATCCAAAATGTCTGATGAAGGGCCGGCAGGTGAGGAAGCTGTATCGGTGGAGTGAAGGGGAGAGGCAGGCTGTGAGTGTAGCAGGGATGTTACAGATGATGCCGGGCTGGTTGGTGAGGAGAGAGGGGAGTGGAGGGAGGGGGAGTGGTTCGATCTCGATGTTTAAACCATTGTTATTGGCAATTGTTTGCCTTTTTTTTTTAATTCTTTATAAATTTCTTGATGAGGTTGTAAAACATCCTTCATATTCTGCTTCATTTTGATGCTTAATTCTATTAATGGTCAGTCATAAATTATTTCTGTTAAATTTTTGGCACACTTCCCATTTTATGTAGAGTCCAGTTATTTTCTTCAGGAGAACCTTGAATTCCAACCTTTTCCTCTCCAGTCCATAAACAGTTGTCCCATCATTCAGGCTTTCTTATTTGACCCGCAAAATACAGGAAGACGTTGCTTGTCTTTCCCCTTAAGTGACCTGTGGTTGCAAGAATGGTAAAGCATCATAGGCTTTATCATAAAGCAGGTGCATTCTCACACATAAGAAGTGTAACCCAATCTTTTGCTGCTTTAAAATCTGGGGCATCCTCTTATATCATAAAGCAGTCTCTTCTGCATTTAATACTTTCCCAGGTGTATAACCATTTTCAGTTATCATGTCCTTAAACACAGCTGGGTATGCAGCTGCCGCCACTTGGTCCACAGCTGCTGCCTCACCTCTTGAGTCTTACGTCATGCAGTGAATATCTTTTCTTAAACTTATCAAACCAGCTCTTATTTCCTTGGAAAGGTGTAGAACCTGAATATGTATCCTGGCTGAAACATCAAGTCTCACAGCTTTATCATGAATAACCTTTTGGTCAACTGGCACATTTCTCTGACTCATGTCCTCAGTCCATACCGGTACACTTAACGCCTTTTCCATACCTTTATCACGTATCTGATGTGTAACTTTAGCACTGTGTGGTGCACTATGAGCAACAATATTTAAAATTTTCTTGCCTTTAATTATTGTGGAACGAACAGTTGACTTGTTCACTCCCAATGCATGGCCAACCGCTGACGCATTCATGTCGCTATCAAGTTCATCTAACATTTAAATTTTTTGTGTCAGAGACATGACTTTCTTCACTCTTTTTGCACCAGATGCATTACCATCAATTTATAGCCTTTTGGGAGCCATGACAGGTATAATTAACATTGAATTGCTCTCAGACGAGACTGGTTGGAGAACACAGCCACGCGGAATGCAGCATGATGCCACATCACGGCAGTTGCCCGCGGTTCTTAAAATAAGCACCTTACCCTTTTATGATATTTTAGTTGATAAAATCCTCTGAGGCTCTTTTCACGAATACTAGTCAAATTCGTGAGAGTTGAATGCGCATATGTTGAGGTACTGGTGTCAGTAGTCATCCCCATAGCCCTTTCCCTGCCACTCCAGGCCAAGTTGAGAGCTATGTTATAGTTGTTTTTCAACTTGTAATTTCAGATAGATATACTTTTTCTTCCCTTTTTTTTTTACCATCTTATATGCTCACACAATTTTACATACAGAATGTACAAAAAAACATTAATATAAAGTAAAAAACATAAAAGGGAATAAAACTTCTTCGTGTGTAAAGATTTCATGCTGAGCTGGTGAGTGTGAGATCTCAGCTTTTCTGGGCTGTCTTCCAAGTGTAGTGAAATGATTGAAAGATTTTGTCATCCAGCAGCCAGATAGCTTTACTGTACATTTTTTTTTTAATTTTTAGTTATTCATCACAATATAAAAATTTACAAGTATATTACTGCATTTTATCTTATTCCTCATATTGAATTGAATTGAAACAGTTTATTTAGCCAGAAAAACACAGATACAGGGTGGATAATAATTTCAATATTAACATGGCTGAGCTAGTTGAGAACCTGCGCTCTCTTTTAGGCACCTGATATATACTACTATACATTTATCTCAGGAAGTATTATGTAACATTTAGTAACATCTGGAATAGTGCAATGGCATGGTGGTAATAAGAACATCTCATAATGTTACCACAGTTATCACTTCAATATTTATTTACTTTATTTATTTTTTTTATACGTATACAGTATATTATAAGTATACAGTATACATAAATTACAGTGGAATTGAAAAACATGATTATAATGGGGGAGCATTACAACATGGGTTGTACAGTATTAAGGTTGAACACGAGGACAGAGCTGTCAGGATTATGTCTAGTTGGCAATTATGTTTACTGCAATGGTAATTTCTTAACTATTTGCATGATAATTTCCGATAAAACGGTTTTGATGGTACAATAAAAGCAGGTACTGTAAATATAGTAGGTATGTATTACAAGAAATATTAATACTTAGACAATAGATATTTTTTAAGAGATGATTTAAAGGAAGAGAGCATAGTCTTTGCTCGGATGGGTGATATTTTATGGAGGTCTGGGACTGAGAGGAGTACATGGGGGGTGGTCTTAGTAGCTCTGGGTGCCTTAAATTGTATCTCTGATTATTCCGGAACTGGAAATAATTATTGTCAAGCAAGTGATTGATAGATATGTAAACAAAGAGGGCACAGCAGTAAGTGTTAATATCTTCAAATTTTAACATTCACAATTTAGCAAATTTTTCGTTTGTGTGATCCGTTTTTTTTTTTTCCAAGTTGATCATTGTCTGTACAACTCTCTTTTGTGCATTAACCAGAGGGTACTGGTGGGAATTCATTTTCAGAGTTGGTAACACTGTTCATAGAATCAGCTGTTGTGGATTATACCTAGTACAGTATTTCTCAAAAGCAAGGGTCAAATTATACAAGAGATTTATGAAAAACAAAGGGTTTTTACCAAAAAATCAGGGATCGACCTATGTATGAGATCAGTTTATACACAAATACATACAGTATATGGGAATACATATCCTATACAAATTCATCAAAATCTTATATAATTTTTTTATATTCCTTTGTATAATGTCTATCCTGTATTGTATTTCATTCTGTTGATAATGAACATTGATGGTGTGAATTATTACATTATACATTGTTTACAGCTAAAGTGCCCTTCCCACTAACACTGAGATTCAAGCCCATGCTGCAGCGAGGCATTGAACTTGTCTCCTTAGATGCGTCTTGGGTATCATCTGCCTCTTGGTATTTCCTCAATGTTTTTGGTCTTCGCTCTATTTACACCCTTGTTCTTGGGGAGAATAATGGTAAGTAGAGGAACTATATTCTGTTTATATGTTGTTGTATTGATTAGTTGATATGATATTGTGATGACATACAGTATATATGGTAGTTAATTTATTAACTATAATGAGAAATATGATCAGAATAATGAATTTTACTATGTTAATTTGTATTCATCTGTATATTATAATTTACTATCTAAGACACATGGGCATCCACTTGTGTGAAAGAAAAACAGTGTTTGGTTGGGTCAGGGGATTAATACTGTACGGTCATTTTTTTGAGATCTGTAAAGCAGGTTAGGTCTGGGTAGGTTGGGTCAGGTACTTCAGCTCATATAGAGCAGACACATTCATTCAGCTACTTTAGTTTTGTACAAGACACCATGTTAACACTGACCACTTTTATTTTGGATTCGGTTACTTACTCTGTTGGAATATATGAGGTTATATGGTAAGGAAAGTTTGGTATTGGTTTAAAAGATATTGATGTGGTTTTAGATCAAGTTTTTTGTATCATGGCGTTGTGATTTTAGATCGGTTTTAATTTTTATTTTATGGTGATTTTAGATATACATACTACTATACTGCCAGTTTAATGGTAGCATGATTATAGATACCGTATATACCCGTGTATAGCACGAGTTCTTAAGACCAAATTTTTGGGCAAAAAGTTGGGGGTCGACCTCTATACGGGTAATAGTTTCGTTAGGTTGAAAAATATTTACCAGTAACTACCAGTAAACGATGGAAACGACGCACCAACGCACCACCCGCTGTGAGTGTCGGTACAGTTGCCAGGGCAGATCTCTTGCGTCATCATAGCAAGCCCAAAGTAGCCAAATGCATGGTATGGTATGCACAGGAGTATGTAAAACATAAAGTATTCATTTTTAAAAGTTTATTTATAGATACATAAATTTTTGTTAATTAAATTTGAAACATCAATATGATGTGAGTCAGGTCATCTACACACAGTTGCCAGTTTCAAAATTTTCCTTTTAAAATTTTAAGTTACCGAGTATTTCTTTTCCCAAATCGTTTTACAATACTGTAGGTAAAACAGTATACTATTGTGCAAACCCCACAGAAAAAAAATTAACAAATGGAGACACCAAAAATGTAAAAAAAAAAAATGCTGTCTGACTTGCAACACTGTTGGTAGGGTCAGGTGGTTCTAACGGTATCTGCCAGGACCCGGTAATCAAATTTATAACAATATCTAACCTCAATTACTGTAGTTTATCTGATGTAGGCAATATGAAGTAAAAAATACCAGTTAAAGTGAGAAATTGGAAGAGAATAAACAAGAAAGATGTTGGGCTATTTTTGGTAGGGCTGAGGGAGAGAGTACCAGCTGTTTGGTCTTTTTTGGCGGGAGAGTCACGCAAATATCCGTACTAGTATTTGTTTGGTGTTCTGTATTTTTAAAAATGAATACTTGTAAATTAAAAGTACCGTAACATTGTATTATATAAAAACTTGTCATATTTCTGGAAAATAAGAAGCAAGAAAATAAGAATACACCGGTAAACACAATTTCAACGTACGCTAAAATTAAAAGCTGCTTAAGAAGGGCCGATGCAAACATAAAGCCTCCGCGACCAGGGCGCTGCCGTATCAGCTAGACGGTACACGTGTTTTTCGAATCGTTTTCAGTTAAAAAATTTTTACATCACAAGTGAATTAGGATAGAATATTATTGTAATATAACAGTTTTTAACTGAAAACCATTCGAAAAGCGATTACGGTAACATCTTTTGAACGAAAGAAAGCGAGTCATTGTTTTTGTCACGATTTTATCCCACTTTCCACTGAATACGTACGTCATTTCAGCAAAAATATTACATTTCCATATTCTCAGAAATAAATAGTAGTTTTGCTGAAACGTGATGTATTTCAATGTAAATTAGGATAAACTACATGCAGAAAACAAAAGACTTTACCTAACCTTCCGATGTTCAAGATATGTTACTCGTATTTTTAATAGTTTTCAGTTAAAATACTGTTATATTAGTGATATTCTATTCATACTGTGGTTGATATAATACCTTCACGGAAATGTAATATTTTTTGCTGAAATGACATACGTATTACAGTGGAAAGTGGGATAAAATTGTGATGTAAACAACGACTTTCGCTTTGTTTCGTTCAAAAGATGTTATCGTAATCACTTTTCGAATGGTTTAGTTAAAAAACTGTTGTATTGTATTACAATAATATCCTAATTGACTTGAATAAATATTACGATACCATATTTCTGAATATTTTCATTAAAATCCATCAAAATCATTTTCTTTGTCATCGTCTGCAGCACCAAACAGCTTCTCCCAGTCCTCTCCTTGAACAGGGCTAGAGGGTACACGTGTTTTTCGAATCGTTTTCAGTTAAAAAACTATTACATCACACGTATATTTTACCTAAACTGCGCCTGAATGAATATATTCTCGGAAATAAATAGTAGTTTTGCTGAAACGTGATGTATTTCAATGTAAAATAGGATAAAATACATGTCGAAAACAAAAGACTTTACCTAAGCTTCCGATGTTCTTGAGATGTTATTCGTTTTTTTAATAGTTTTCGGTTAAAATTCTGTTATATTACAATGATATTCTATTCATACTGTGCTTGATATACTACATTCACGGAAATGTAATATTTTTTGCTGAAATGACGTACGTATTACAGTGGAAAGTGGGATAAAATCGTGACGAAAACAATGACTTTGGCTTTCTTTCCTTCAAAAGATGTTACCGTAATCACTTTTTGAATGGTTTAGTTAAAAAACTGTTGTATTACAATAATATTCCCTCCTAATTGACTTGAATAAATACTTGAATGGAAATATGCAATATTTTTGTTGAAACTACCCGCGTTTCAGTGTAAAGTGTCGTAATAATAAATGGTAAACAAGTTTATAGGACGTAGTGTTTCTCTGAAGGTTTTGTTGTTCCTTTACCCTCAAAAACTTGGGTCGACCTATAAACGAGGAATATCATAAATTAACGATTTCTTGGTCATAAAATCGGGGTCGACCTATATACGAAGGGGGGTTATAGACGAGTATATACGGTAGTCACAATTAGCAGCAGAGCTGGACATTGAGCTATCCCTTCCCAGATACAAATGGTAAAGCTTGCAAGAGAAGAATTCAATGAGCAGATTGTAAAGATCATTAAATTAGTTGAAATTGAAAACTTAACAGGTGAAACAGACACCTGGTTTGAAATTTGATTTTAAGAACCAAAATGTTGGATTTGAAGATGGACTTCAGGATTTGCTCAAACACACTGACCTGTTTCTTTCTATAAAACAAGCAATTATTATTGCTCTTGTGTTACCAGTACCTGTGACATCATGCACACTGGAGAGATCAGTCAGCACAATGAGAAGGGTAAAAACCTGGTAAAGATCAATGACGGCAGAAGATCATTTATCCGGACCGTGTATATTGAGTGTTCATCGAACTAAGATTTGTGAGAATAAATAAGAACTTATTCAAAAAGGTAAATTATTAATTTGTAAAGATGCTTGCAGTTTTTATTCCACAGTAGCTCTTTGGAAGTACAAGAAAAAAAGAGAAGTAACGAATGTGTCATTTTTCCTTTACACTTACCTGTTTTATTATTGTGATTTGTTCTATTATTTTGTATGGACTATTTCTAAGTCTCCAAGCTCCAACCCTGTTGTGTTAATATTGACCTATAATGCAAATACAGTACAGCTTACAATATACACTTATTTAAGGCTACTATGCTTGTGGTACAGTCTATTTAGACAGGGGCTAAGTTTTAACCCATTATCGGTCAAATTCATAGATCTGCGTCTGCAAATGGCTTCTGAGCAGTCTATAATGAATACCTTGTTTAGGCAGGCCAACAGTTCAAGGGTTCGTGGCAACAACCAAGATCCAAACATTGGCATCTAATTGACTTCATCATTGTCAGAGAAAGAGATCGCTGAGATGTCCTCTCATTACCCATCCCATGTGTGGCTCAGACCACTGCGACACTGATCATCGGCTCGTCAGAGCAAAGCTCTCACTTCACGTCGCCCCAAAACGGCGAAGGCAGCAAGCCTCCAGAAGAGGTTTTAACACTAAGCGTCTGGAGGATCCAGCAGTAGCACATGTTTTTTGAGAGTAGCTTGAACACAGGCTGGTAAACAACCTGACAACAAACAACCCAATTCCCAGTACCGAATGGGATATTCTCGACACTCATGACAAAAACATGCAGAGGGATCCTCAGCCAGATTAAAAGAACACACCAGGGCTTGTTTGATGAAAATGACCTGGCAATCAAAGTACTCATCGATGATAAACGTGCTGCTTTTACTGACTGGCAGAAAAACCTCAGTCTCGGACCAAAGCTGATGCCTTAAAGACGCCTCCATCATCAATATTTATAAGAAAAAAGGAGACCGGTCAGACTGTGGCAACTACCGCGGGATCTCGCTGCTGTCCGTAGCTGGCAAGATTATCGCCCAAGTCCTCCTAAACAGGCTTCTTCCTGAGGTGGAAACTTCCTCCCAGAATCTCAATGTGGCTTTAGACCATCACGTGGCACCACTGACATGATCTTTGCTGCCCTTCAGATGCAAGAAAGGTGCAGAGAACAGCGTCGTGACCTGTATATGGCTTTCATCGACCTAACCAAGGCCTTCAACACGGTCTACAGGGAAACCCTCAGCCGTTTTGGCTGCCCACCAAAATTCATCGCATTATGAGGCAACTCCATGATGGCATGAACGGCAGTGTCCTGCACAATGGCACCCAGTCTGAGTTCTTCCCCATCCAAACAGGGGTTAAACAAGGGTGTGTACTGGTACCAACTCTCTCTTCATTTTCTTGGCTACCTTCCTTACTCGTGCCAGTGCCAATTAGCCAATGGGGTGGACATCGAGTACCGAATGAAAGGTCTTTTCAACATAAGAAGACTCCAGGCAGTAACAAAGGTGTCGGCAGCTTTCATTACTGAGTTTCATTATGCAGACGACCTCACCCTTGTCGCTCACACTGAACTTGACCTACAGGAGATCCTGAACACCTACACAAATGCATATGCACATTTTGGCCTTGAGGTGAATGTACATAAGACTCAGATTCTCTTTCAGCCTGTCCCTGGTTCAGCCACACCTCCACCATCCATCCATCTTAACGGTACTACCCTCTCTAATGTTACCCACTTTCGGTATTTCGGCTCCCGCCTGTCCACCACTGCGGACATCGATGAAGAGATTCAGCATCGGATCAGATGTGCATCTCAAGCTTTTGGCAGACTCTGAAACCATGTCTTTAGCTGTAGGGAGCTAAAATTATCTACAAAGTTACACATATACCAAGCAGTGGTCCTCCCCACCCTGCTGTATGGCTGCGAGACATGGGTCACATACAGGAGGCACATCAAGGCACTAGAAAACTTTCACCAACGTAGTCTATGTTCCATCCTCCGAGTTCGCTGGGAAGAGAAGAGAACAAATGCCAAATCGACCCCCTCACCTGGGAGACGATTACTGTGACAAACCTGAAAAAGTGCCAAATCGACCTCCTCACCTAGGAGATGATTAATCCACTCCTTAATGCTTGGAGGATCACCACAGAAGAATTTGTCAATACTTTCAAGTTAGCCTGACCGCATAACAAGGCAGACAAGCGCCAATGCCGGAAAGACGTTACTGCCGCCCCTCCCGCATTATATGTAGCTCCCCACATGTGCTACATCAGTGATCGACCCTGCCAGTCCTGTTTCGGCCTCTTTAGTCACTTCAGAACTCACCAACGAAGGTGACATCCTTAATAACTCGTATCATTGCATCATAGCTGGATGATCGTCATACTCGATTCCGAGTGACTGCAAAGTAGTAGTAGTATAATGTAGGTTTACGAGTTTGGATTTTTTAAGATCCCGCAACGGCTGAAATGGCCCGGAAGGATTAATGTACTGTATTTAAAATATGACAAATGGCAACCTCTCAAAACACATCAGCCTAATTCAGCAACCTCTGTCCCTCCAAAATGCTCTTCTAAATAAGGTGATGCTGTTAGACAAGATACAGTAGGGAGATGGAGAATGAAGCACAGGGCTTTGTATACTGTACTGACCGTCACCACTTAACCCCCACACACCCAGCTGGTGTTTTTTTCCCTGAGGAATAGCCCACCGGGGCTCAGGTCATCGACCCATAACAGGGCCTGGGCGGCTCTCTCCTCACTTCTTTCCAAGTTTGCTGCCCTCAATACAAGCTAAGATATATGCCCAGAGACCTTGTCACATATGCAAGAACACAATTTTATGTGAAAAAGTGTGCAAGGACACTAGTTATTGCTGCACTGAGTGTGATTGTTCCACTGTGCTTGATGCCTTGCTTTGAGCAGTATCCTACCATCATAAGCTATTAAAGAGAAAAAGAATTATTGTAAATATGTAAATAATTATATAATTACAGTAATGTAGAAGTACAGTGGTCCCTAGGTTAACGAACACAATTCGTTTCACAGAATCATTCGTTAACCGAATCTATTATTTCAATGGGATATTGAGTAATTGGTTCCAACTCACAGAAAAAGTATACATACAAAGCACTGTATACCGGTAATAGAATTAACAAAACATTAAATATAAACTAAATACAGTACTGTACTGTACAGTATACTGTACAATAATAAATAAAAAACAATAGAATACTGTATTTTAACTTACTTTGAGGTGTGTATATCATATTACCGGCAGCTTTGTTTACTTATCAAACAGCTGATTGTAGAGGCAGTCGATGATGACATGCCATATTCTGTACAGAGTGCATTGGTTCTAATGCCTTCTTCATGTTTCATAATAGTTTCTGCACTGTATATTATCGGTATGTTAACTAAGTATCAGAATGACCAATAATTTTAATGTAAAAATGCAAAAATATTCAAGAGACCAACAAAAGCGATGTTCACTCCACTGTAAACAAAGTTAAACTGAGAAGCGTTGTTGGGTGATTCAATCAGCTGATGGGCGCACAAAAACTGTTCCTTGTACAGTACTGTCTTTACTATCAATATGTTAAAAAAATTTCAGAATGACCAATAGTTTTAATATAAAAAATGCAGAAATATTCAAGAGACCAACTTTCTTGATATTTACTTCACTGGAAACGAATGTAAACATAGAACCAATTACTGGATTGGCGTACTAGCCGATCAGCTGATGCGCACAACAAAACATGTTTGTCGTAAGGATTTCGTTAATCGAAGTTTTGTTCGTTAATCGAACTGAAAATCCTTATGGTAGCTAATTCGTTAACCGAAATTTCGTCAATTGAACCGTTCGTTAACAGGGACCACTGTACTGTAAAAACTTTGGTGAAAAACAAAGATATTCATGTTTGCTGGGTCGCTTGTGTATGGGTGAGTAGTAAGTAATATGTAGCGAGATGTGTTTTTGCCAGTTTATAATGGAAATAATGTTGGTGTGAAACAATATACCTGTAACAGATACATTTATCACTGTTATGAATAAATTAGACATACAGTATATAATTGATCAAATTATGTTAGGGGAACAGGAGTAGAAAACATGACGCTGTGGCAACATGGTAAGTTATGCCATGAAGCCTCGAGCCCCACACGCCACACGTCCCGCCAACAAGCTTCAAAATGGTGAATACAGCCAAAATTAATATTATATCAAGTTTTATAACCCAAACTGTCGACCGGGATGACCATTTCATAACCTGCCCAAGTACAGGTAAAAACATGCACATATTTGTTAGTAGTGGATGGTGTTAATCTGTATTATTGTGTCTACTGAGCAACGATGTTTATAATTATCATACAGTACACAATAAAAGATATTGCAATATAGTACCGTATGCAGTAATTGTTTCAAGCAACCCAATCTTAATGAATTCGTATAAAGGTGATATATCAAGCTCATTTTGTTGTACTGTATAGTAAAAAACTTGCTATAAGCTTGGAAAAAACATTAAAATATTAAGCTTGCCAAAACCGACTGTGGGAGCTAGTACATCCCCTTGCTAACTGTAGGACAAAATCCCCTCAGACAGAAACTCCATAGGACAAAATCCCTCAAGGATAAAAACCTAACTTTGAGAATCATTAGTATTAAATTGGGGGTTTTGTCATACTATGCACTTTAGCTTAGGGGGATTTTGTCTTCCCCTTGAAAAGGCTCCAGTGGATGCTCATGTGTAAGGCATTTGAAGGGGTGTTCAGTAAATTTGGGTAGGAATAGTCTTTAGCTGGACAGGTACACTTAATGTGATAAGAATTTCTAGGATGAAAAGATTCTGCAGGGTTTCAGGGTACCCATGTGACTAGTTTCTACACTCATTTGTCCAGTAAAGTTTTAGAAATTATTTAGAAATGAGAAAATATTTTTTTGTCTCACTACAGCTGCTGATCAGGCTCGCATAATGGAAGAACAGATGTCTGGTGCAGCTATGGCTATGCCTCAGGACCCCAAGGCAGCTTTTAAAGCAGAATGGGAAGCCTTAGAGATAGCTGAACATAAGTGGGCTCTCAAGGATGTTGAGTCAGACCTCCTACAGAAGCATGAGGTGGATTGGATGTTCAATGCTCAGTCTTATGGAAATACCACATAATAAGGATTTGTTAAGTTGGTCCAATTTCCACTGTATATAATACTGGGAGCAAAGCTGTAAATTGCTGATAGATTTTATTAACTAATTTTTCAAAATACAAATACAGTACAGTACTCAGAATAACTGCCTAATTAGTTTGTGGCATGGATTTCTTTTTCATTTAACATCATAACCACCTGTCTCATGAATTCCTTTCCTACATTCACCAGAGTGACACACGCAGAATCTGCCCTTAGCATTTTGGTTGCTGACCTCTCCACATCTCCATACGTTGATGACCAGAAAATCATGATGCATATGTTCAAGAATTCTTTATGATTGGTTATCACAAAGAAAGGAAACACCATTGCTTGCATTTAACAGTGTGTATAGAGAGTAAGTTTGCCTCGATAAGGAGTGGAAGGATGTAAATTCATGAAGATAGACCGTGTAAAAATGAGGGGGGAGTTTACAGGAAAAAACTCGACAAATAAAAAATCAGTAATGTATACAGGATACCGTACTCTCAAATTTGGAGCATGTATGGGGGACTACCAGATGATACATTTCATATGAGCATGACACAAAAAATTACTATTGGTTTAAAGTTTAACTTCACCAGTGGTGAATTCAATAAGGAATGATCACAGGAAATGAATAATACTTTGCAAAAACATTTTAACCTTACACTTAATACAGCACCTAGATTGTACAATTGGTTGCCTGGATCCATGAAGCAGCTGACTTCTGTGAAGGCCTTTAAGAAACAACCTCTTTTTTTATGAAAGCTTATGATCCCTAACTGGGTACTGTGATGCAGGGCTGCCGTTTAAGCCTCAACTGTATGACGTAATTTTTCCTCATGTTTTCTTTTGGTATTAATGTCGGTAATGTCTTGGCAAAATGATATATTTGGATATATAATGCCATTTTCACTGGCCCATTGGTTTAATATAAACATGCACATACAAAAACCCTACAACCATATAATATTATAACATAACATGGGAGCATTAAACACTAATTGAACAAAAAATATCAAACAGAAGTTAGCATCCTCTGATTTGGTGTAAAATTTATACATCCACCCTGGAATTTCACAGCCTCAGACAAGGCTATTGATGAATTAATATAGTCTGGATTTTTTATTCATTAAAATAAATTTAGAAAATTGTCTCCGTGTCAAACTGGGGTTTCCACAGCAGCCAAGGGTCCCATTTTGATTTTGCAAGTCACTTATTACCCACAATCCATTTATACTATACATTATCTGTTGAAATATACTAAAGGAATTGATGAAAAAGTCACATATATTACTGGATTTCTAGAACAATGAGGAATATATTCCTTACAGCGTTTCAGTGAGGACGGGCTTTCCTCATGACGTCACTGACTGTCATTTGTTTTCCTCGGCAGACGATATTCCTTAAAACTGCAGCCCTGCTGTGATGGAGAATTACAAAGTTTAGGAAGTATTAAAACTTAGGGTACTGTATATGAATGATAGAAGTCGAACTGTCACTTTTTGTTATCATTTATTGAAGTAAGTATTTCTTTTAATTCGCAAGTCTTTGACTTTGTAGTGTTTTGAGCATTAGTGAGTTCTATAGAACTGGCATTTTTAAGAAACAAAAGACCAGCTATTATTATTATTATTATTATTATTATTATTACGTATTAATACTTTATATAATCTCACTTGAGGGTGGAAATTTGCAGTAACACTTTTCCAAAGGAACACACAATATATTGTTGAGCTGAAAAGTAACTACAGTCAACCCTCACTTTACGCGGTCCCACATTCCGCGTTTCCACGTTTCCACGGTGCCCTACCAGAACCCAGGATGCTCACATTCCGCGGTGGGTGTACCCCTTTACACGGGTGAAGTATAATTTTTTTATTTAGCTCATAAAATTCATACAAATTATCCGGCCAGAATATAACTTACATTGCTGGAATTCTTACAATTTGATGATCATTTTGAATATAAACATCATAGATTTTGCATTAGACATACAAATTTTAGATATAATGTTTACTCTGAAAAAATATGTTATCTTTTGTGCAAAATATATGACATTTGTATTCAAAATATTCCTGGTCTTACAAGGAATCCAGCAATGTCAATTATATTATCCTAACTTTAGTCTGATTTATTATTTATTACTAAAAAGGTAAACAGTCTGGTAATCCCACACATTCATCTGGAAGAGAGGGTTGGTGGGGGGTGGGAGGGAGGGAGGCACCGGCGACCACCACCTGGCACCAGGGTGTGAAGAATATTTTTTTTTTTTTATTAACTGAAGATATTTGTTTTAGCTCATAAAATTCATACAAATTACCCAGTCAGAATATAATTTACATTGCTGGAATTCTTACAATTTGATAATCATTTTGAATATAAACATCATAGATTTTGCATTAGACATACAAATTTTAGATATAATGTTTACTCTGAGTAAATATGTTATCTTTTGTGCAAAATATATGACATTTGTATTCAAAATATTCCTGGTCTTACAAGGAATCCAGCAATGTCAATTATATTATCCTAACTTTAGTTTGAGGTATTATTTATTACTATACATGGTTTTCCCCCCAAAATTTCTCAGAGAGGGAAGAGCCAGGAGTGTAGTGTGAGAAGAGGGGGAGGGAGTCGAGTCCATTATTTGAATGGACATTAACTTGGCGACTGTATTTCTCTATTTCTCTTAAGTATTAATTGTGTGGTTGTACCATCATAAAATTAAGATGTTATTTTTACTAGAACATAGGTATTGTGTTATTCACTTTACGCGTTTCTCACTTTCCGCGGTACCCTGTGGGTTACATTAACCGTGTAAAGTGAGGGTTGACTGTATATGCAGTACATATTAATCATTCTTGAGGCAACAGCTTTGCTCTTGTAAACAAAATTGAAGGTAGTGTTCTGATTTATTTTATTATTATTATTATTAATATTATTATTATTATTATTATTATTATTATTATTATTATTATTATTATTATTGCTATTACTATTATTATTAAATTTATCATCAAAATTTTAGTTTCAGTTTCCTCTTCTCTGCAAATACTACTGTGGTCTCTGCTGTAAGGTTTCATTACTGTCATGCATCTTGCATCCTGGTGGATATTTATAGAAAGATTTGGAAGTTAGCCTCTTTTTACCTCACTAAAAGATGGATTTCCTAATTGTTTCTCAATTGATAATGTGTCAGAATAATTTATTGAAACTCCATTGATATTGTATGATATAACTTCATAAGAATCTGAGTAAAGAAAAGGATAGTTTAACACATATTATGGCAGTATCTTATAAGAACGAATGGTATCAGTGTGTGGTTTCATGTAGTGACAATTGATTGTAAAATAGCTGCAGGATCTTGATTAAAAATATGAATATTTTATGTGTAGAAAATATCTATATCATCTTTAGCAATGTAAATCATTCAAATGTCAGTTAAATTATTACATTATATTACACTTTTGGAAATGGAAATTGTAATTGCACTACACTGTTAAACAGTAGATGAGGTGATGGTGTGTCTGAAGTCTTGAACAGACGGTAAATTTTTTGCTTGTCCAAGGCAAACTTAAGAGTTGTAATGACTTCTTGTATATTAATATTTTCTCACTTATGGGTCAACACACACACACACACACACACACACACATGCATACTGCAATGCAAGATGTTAAATATTGTAAGGAATCAAATCATTTGTGTAAGTCATTTGAATAAGTAATATTGCAGATATCAAATTTTGGTTAACAGATCCTTAATCAGCATGTTCAGGAGTACCTATACTGCGATTTTGAGCAAAATCTAATTTTGTACGAAATGCCAAAAATTGTAAGGCTTACCCCTTACAGAATTTTTGGCCTAAAATACTTTTTCTCAGAACTAAAATTTAATGTGCCTACCTTCTTAAATACACCCAGAATAATACACAAGCACCAAGAAATGACCTTGAAAACCCAAAATGGCAAGCAATTAGCAATGCAAAAATAATTAACATTTTCTAAAAGCCATTTGAACAAGTTATAATCAAGATATCAAATTTTGGTTAACAGATCCTTAAGCAGCACATTCAGGAGTACCTATACTGAAATTTTGAACAAAACCATTTTTTGGCCGAAAATGACAAAAATTGTAAGTCTTATGCCTTAAAGGATTTTTGGCCAAAAATGCTTTTTCTCTCTGAACTAAAATTTAATGTGCCTAACTATTTAAGTACATCCAGAATAATACACAAGCACCAAGAAATGACCTCGAAAACCCATAAGTGGCGAGTAATTATCATTGCAAAAGTAATTAAAATATTCTAAAAATCATTTGAACATTTTCTAAAAACCATTTGAACAAGTTATAATCAAGATATCAAATTTTGGTTAACAGATCCTTAAGCAGCACATTCAGGAGTACTATACTGAAATTTTGAACAAAATCCATTTTTTTGGCCGAAAATGACAAAAATTGTAAGTCTTATGCCTTAAAGGATTTTTGGCCAAAATGCTTTTTCTCTCTGAACTAAAATTTAATGTGCCTAACTATTTAAGTACATCCAGAATAATACACAAGCACCAAGAAATGACCTCGAAAACCCATAAGTGGCGAGTAATTAGCATTGCAAAAGTAATTAAAATATTCTAAAAATCATTTGAACATTTTCTAAAGGCCATTTGAACAAGTTATAATCAAGATATCAAATTTTGGTTAACAGATCCTTAAGCAGCACATTCAGGAGTACCTATACTGAAATTTTGAACAAAATCCATTTTTTGGCCGAAAATGACAAAAATTGTAAGTCTTATGCCTGAAAGGATTTTTGGCCAAAAATGCTTTTTCCCTCTGAACTAAAATTTAATGTGCCTAACTATTTAAGTACATCCAGAATAATACACAAGCACCAAGAAATGACCTCGAAAACCCATAAGTGGCGAGTAATTATCATGCAAAAGTAATTAAAATATTCTAAAAATCATTTGAACATTTTCTAAAAACCATTTGAACAAGTTATAATCAAGATATCAAATTTTGGTTAACAGATCCTTAAGCAGCACATTCAGGAGTACCTATACTGAGATTTTGAACCAAATCCATTTTTTGGCCGAAAATGACAAAAATTTTAAGTCTTATGCCTTTAAGGATTTTTGGCCAAAAATACTTTTTCTCTCTGAACTAAAATTTAATGTGCCTAACTATTTAAGTACATCCAGAATAATACACAAGCACCAAGAAATGACCTCGAAAACCCATAAGTGGCGAGTAATTATCATTGCAAAAGTAATTAAAATATTCTAAAAATCATTTGAACATTTTCTAAAAGCCATTTGAACAAGTTATAATCAAGATATCAAATTTTGGTTAACAGATCCTTAAGCAGCACATTCAGGAGTACCTATACTGAAATTTTGAACAAAATCCATTTTTTGGCCGAAAATGACAAAAATTGTAAGGCTTACCCCTTACAGGATTTTTGGGCAAAAAAATAGATTTTGTTCAAAATCTCAGGAAAGGTACTCCTGAATGTGCTGCTTAAGGATCTGGTAACCAAAATTTGATATCTGGATTATTACTTGTTCAAATGGCTTTTAGAAAATTGTAATTAATTTTGCAAGTCATTTGAATAAGTAATATTGCAGATATCAAATTTTGGTTAACAGATCCTTAATCAGCATGTTCAGGAGTACCTATACTGCGATTTTGAACAAAATCTAATTTTGGACGAAATGCCAAAAATTGTAAGGCTTACCCCCTTACAGAAATTTTGGCCTAAAATACTTTTTCTCTCAGAACTAAAATTTAATGTGCCTACCTTCTTAAATACACCCAGAATAATACACAAGCACCAAGAAATGACCTTGAAAACCCAAAATGGCGAGCAATTAGCAATGCAAAAATAATTAACATTTTCTAAAAGTCATTTGAACAAGTTATAATCAAGATATCAAATTTTGGTTAACAGATCCTTAAGCAGCACATTCAGGAGTACCTATACTGAGATTTTGAACAAAATCTATTTTTTGGCCGAAATTGACAAAAATTGTAAGTCTTATGCCTTAAAGGATTTTTGGCCAAAAATACTTTTTCTCTCTGAACTAAAATTTAATGTCCCTAACTATTTAAGTACATCCAGAATAATACACAAGCACCAAGAAATGACCTCGAAAACCCATAAGTGGCGAGTAATTAGCATTGCAAAAATAATTAAAATATTCTAAAAATCATTTTAACATTTTCTAAAAGCCATTTGAACAAGTTATAATCAAGATATCAAATTTTGGTTAATAGATCCTTAAGCAGCACATTCAGGAGTACATGGTTGAATGAAAGCTGGACAGCGTGGAGCTTGCTGGAGGAGGTGTTGCACGTTCAGGAAGAATGGCCAGAATGGATCTCAATGGAGAGACAGAGCTTATATACCCAGCAGCCGTGAGTCCTCTATGAGTCATGTTGGGAAAACCAGAGAAAGTCGCCGGTCTTTGGTTCCGTTGCTAGGTTACGGTAACATCTGCTGTCGCCGCTCTCTTGGTTGCTAGGGAAGATGGTAGCAGCTGGTGACGCCGCTACGCAGTTGTAGGGAAGACGTCCACTACAGTAGCATTCTCCGGTCACAATTATAAGATTGTGGGGTCGAATCCTGGCTGGGTGAGGTGTTGATTATATGTAGAAGTCTGCGTGCTTTATTGGGCTAATGATATATTGTGGGGAACAGGTTGTTTGGTTCACACTCAGGATGGGATGGAGAAAGGAAACTCACAATGTGCTCTGTATACATGTTGTATTGGATGTACAATGCAGCTTGGTGCTGGGAAGGCAGCATGGTTACAAGTGTGATGTAGAGAGAGCTGGTTGGTGAGGGTGCTCAGAGGAGGACAGCTTGTGGGTCGCCATGCTCGCCGGCGGGAGCGAGGGCCGCCAGGCAGCGGCGGAGGAGGTGGTGTAGCTTGCTATGGCTGTAGCTAGAAGAAGAGGGAGGGCAGGTAGGCGTGGCTTAGTAGTTGACCTCCGTGATGTATGGCGGCGCTGGTTGACCCAGACCAGGAGGCATACACTGGGGAATTCACGGGGTTTGCTACTCAGCGACAAACAGCGTTTGTAGGGGAGAAATCCACTACAATATATATATATATATATATATATATATATATATATATATATATATATATATATATATATATATATATATATATATATATATATATATATATATATATATATATATATATATATATATATATATATATATACTGTATATATTATTATTATTATATATTATTATTATATTTTTGCCCCCCGGGCCCTGATGTGGGTTGTAGTGGATTCCTCCCCTACAACCGCTGTCGTCGCTGACTAGCCGACCCTCGAATTCCCCAGCCTGCGCCTCGTGGCAAGGTCGGTAACCAGCGCTGCCGAACAAAGTGGAGGTCAACCATCAAGCCACGCCTACCCCCACTATATAAGACCTCACATGGCCGTCACCTCTCTGCTAGGTGGACAGCCCACCTGCTATCTCCCCCTCCTACTTTTCTTCCCGTTTCTATGCTTTACTTCTCTCTCTCCTCTCCTTTCCCAGTGCAAAGTCATTTGCCACTTTACTTCATTATCATCACCATCATCATGACCGACCACTTTCTTCCTACAGCCACCAGCAAGCAACACCTCCTCCGCTCCTGCCTGGTGGCCCTTGCTCCAGCCGGCGACCATGGCGCCCTACAAGCTGCATTGTCCTCCTCTGAGCACCCTCACCAACCAGCTCTCTCTGCACCAAGCTGCATTGTACATCCAATACAATATGTATTCAGAGAGCACATTGTGAGTTTCCTTTCTCCATCCCATCCTGAGTGTGAACCAATATCTCATAATCCCACAGGGTCATTACCTGTGCCCGGGTGGGCTAATGCCCGTAAAAAAAAAAATTCATTTAGCATTAGTGTATAATCAAAAGGTGAAATAAGTAGGGGTTTTTTTTAAATCTTCATGAGAGCCTAACCTATAAAATTAATAAATGGTTGAGCAGTCTTAACAACGTCTTCCCACAACAAAAGGGTAATTTTAAACTTTAATTAGTCCAGGTACTCTTCCAACATTAAATTCATGCACTAAATTAAGGAAAAACTGCCATCAAAACCCATCCAGCAGTTCCATTGCCATTTCAAATCCATATTTTTGTTTATTTCATTATATTTATACATATAAACAATTATTAATATTTATGTTTAATTAATGTAAAAATTTTATATACTATGTTTAAAATACAGGTATTTTGTTGTTTTGAATTTTCTGAAGAAACAAACAGAGTTGCCAACTTAGCGACTTTGTAGCTAGATCTAGAGCTTTTTGTTTTTTTCTAGCGACATTTTAGAGCGATTTGCGACTTGTCGCAAATCTAAAGATATCCACAGAAATCTAGCGACTTTCTGGATACATTTTGGACTGTCTATGAAAACTCAGTTTTCCTAATTTCGAGCCATAATATATAGCAACGGGGTTACAGGGACAATACATTTGAACGGGTTGAACTCATAAAACAACTTCGTCAACGCTTACCTGACAACATTCGTGTGCTGCAGTCTATTTCTTTTCTGAGTGCCGATGAATGCTTGAAGCCTATTAAATCAGATATACTTGGTTTGGCACACTTATTTACAAAAGATTCCAGCACCCTTACCAAGATTGATTTCCAGTGGAAAAAACTGCATCACACAATCTGGACAGAAACATCTAACACCCTAAAATTGTGGTCAGAAGTGGCAAATTACAGAGATGCAACAGGTGAAAACCCTTACCATGATCTGGCTGAAATTGCACTCGCTGCCTTATCTCTTCCGCATTCAAACGCAGATGTAGAGCGCACATTTAGTAATATGAACTTTGTGAAATCAAAATTGCGCAACAAAATGAAACTATCGACATTAAAGGCAATTCTTACAATAAAGTATGGGTTAAAAAGACAGAACACCTGTTGTGCAAGTTCTGAACTTCCTAGTGATATTTTAAGAAAGATAGGAACTGTGGAGGCATACAGTTACAAGAGAACCTGAACCAAGCACTTCACATGCTTCCAGCTCTACAGTTGTTCACACTACCAAGAGGACTGGGATGCAATTACTATTGAATAATAGGTAAGTGTGCACATTAAACTTTAAAAAAAATAATATTTTTATTTTTACACAATGCATTTTATTTATACTCAGTCCATTATAGTCGGCATTATGAAAATATTATTTGCATAAAATTACTGAAGGGGGGGAATAATAGCTAGCGACTTTCCATGGAAGATTTAGCGACATTTAGCTACTTTTAGGTACCAGCCTAGCGACATTTGAAAACCCGAGTTGGCAGCCCTGGAAACAAACCATCACAACAATAACAGACAAGTGTCCTCAGGGAAGCAGCTTTCATGTGTATAGAATCAATTTAAAATTAAATACAGAGAAGCAAATTATGCTTGGGGAAAAAGCTCTTGAACTTATAAAGGAACTGGACAGGTGTAAAGATGGCCAGCTACCTGCTTTTAATGTGAGTTAAAAGGATGTGTTGAAGTTGTGCATGGATTTTGGTAATTATTGACGACTGACCAGCGGCCAATTTTTCTTATAAACTATTATAAATGCGCTGCAACTTAACTGTTTTATAGTGAACACTCGTAATTTGTGCAAATGTGTTAAAAAGTGGTTATTTCTAAATTAAACGTAATCTAACCTTTGTTGATATAGGTAATCATATAGGACTAACCCGCGGCCGAAATTGATTGAAAACGATTACAAAAACGTCAGATTTTCACTGGTATTTCATAGTGGACACTGTTGTAGTTTGTGCAAATGTGTTAAAAGTGGATATTCTTAAAATAAACATTACTTATAATTTATGGGTATGAAGAACAGACCTAACCAACCTAACTAAACAAACCTACCTAACCTTAACCGGTATATTAAAGAATTTACATGATATGGTGAAATTTGAGGCATTGGTAAATTTTTACTTTTGGGCATGAGTCCTGAGGGGTTGACCAATATGTTTTTCCAGTGTATTTTGGTGTGTTTTAAACGAATCTGACCTTAAAATAAAAAGTTGTCGCTTCTTAAAATACTTATTATAATGTTAAGAGCATGTGTAGGAAAATTTAACTAAATTGAACAACTCCTTTTGGTATTAGCGGTGTTCTCATAAATTACCAAAATAATTACTATAATGTTAAGAACATCTATGGAAAAAATTAATGAAATCAAACAACTCCTAGTGGTAGCTGTGTTCTCAGAAATTACCATAGTAAATAATAAAAATGATACAACAATGTACAGAACCTAATAGAACCTGACCTAACCTGATGTAACCAAACAAAGAAACCTACCTAACCTTACTTAACTTCCTAGCCGGGGGGGTCAGACCCCCCTGCCATATTAAACAGAAAGTACTTACTTTGATGTCTGGTACATACCACCCTCAAGGTGGAGTACTTAACCCCACATTGTTCAATGTTCTTATGAATGCATTATTAAATTTAATACGAGACAACCCATCAATATCACAATCAAATGTGCTGATGATATTCTCATACATACTAAAACTCATCATGAAATGCAAATCACCCTGAACCATGTATAGTCGGCCACAGGAATAAGTATACAGGGCGTCCTCGCTTAACGACGGGGTTTCATTCCTAAAAATGCGACGTTATTCGAAACAACGTTAAGCGGATCAATTTCCCCAGAAGAAATAGATAAAATACGGGAGTTACGTTCCTGAGTCTCCCTTTGCCCCATGAAATACATTACATATACAGAAAATCATTGCCATTTCTATAGAAAATAATGCATACATATACAACTACTAAGTTTGTATTAGTACTCACCGATGGGCGGAGGTGGTAGAGCGAGTGTGTGGTAGATGGCGGGAGGGGAGGAGTATGGCAGGAGCGGAGGAAGAGGGTGGGAGCTGAGGGGGGCGGGAGAGGAGGAGGGTGGTGAGTCACTGAGATTCTGTGCTAAGTCGGGAGAGCATAGCGCGGCCAGACGAGAGCGGGTGATGCGCCGTAAAATTTAGTCTGTGACGACGCAAAACGACGTAGTGTCGTATCACCTGGATGTTAAACGAATTTTTGGTCCCTAAAGTTTAGCGACGTAGTACCGAAACAACGTTAAGCGTGGACTTAATGTACACACTGTAGCTATAAGGTCCGAAAATGGTCTGGTAACGTTGAAACTGCGCCTCCAGACGCATGAATGACAATGATTCCGGGACTTAGAAACCTTCCATATCAGGATAGGTTAAAGAAACTTAACTTGCATTCCCTAGAAAGACGAAGAGTGCGGGAAGATATGATAGAAGTATTTAAGTGGATGAAAGGAATCAATAAAGGGGATATAGATAAAGTTCTTATAATATCCGAGCAGGATAGGACTCGGAGCAATGGATTCAAGTTGGATAAGTTTAGGTTTAGGAGGGAGATAGGAAGAAACTGGTTCACAAATAGGGTGGTGGACGAGTGGAACAAGCTTAGCAACTTTGTAGTAAGTGCGGGAACTCTGGAAAGTTTCAAAAGGAGGCTAGATAGATTCATGGATGATAGAGAGTGGTAGTAACTCTCGACAGGAGCTGCCATGCACAGGCCAACCGGCCTATTGCAGATTCCTTATTTTCTTATGTTCTTATGATGAGACTCAGCTCCCCCCACCTGTTATCTCTAACTATTTTCTGTTTCCCCTTCTTTATTCTTATATTTACTCCTCTTCCTTCCTTTACTAATCCAAACGGCAGTAAAAATAAAGTAAGGTAAGAGAAAAGGTCGGGGAGGAGGCGGGAGCTGTACGATAACTGCAATCCCATTCGGCAACAAGTTTACTACTATTGGACACAATATATCACTTGTAATATAAACACAAGACACTAGTAAAACTTTCACAACAAATGTATTTATAACATATATGTAGGAATAAAACATAAATTACAGGTCATTTTGTAATTTTGTCTATTCTGTTCAGGTCAGTGTTACCAGATATTTTGTCTCAAACACGAACTGCAGGTGTATACTTATTCTTGTGGCAATGCAAGTTATATACAGCCAAGTCAATTCAGTGACATTTTATAAGGGAAAAACTTGATATTGCAATACCTGCAGAGCTTCACTCTGTATTTTTATGCCACTAGACCTCATCATAACAAACGAAGAGGATATGGTGGCCAAACTGGAACACCTTGCCCCAGTTGGCACCAGTCACCATATACTGTAGTGTTGTCATTCAGATTTAACTGTTACCTAGTTCAAGATAAGGCCAGGCCAAGGTTCAAATATTACAAGGGAAATTACAATGGGATGAGGGAAGAGATAAAGGGTATCCACTGACCTGACTCATTAAGGCACAACAACGCAAACACTCCGCTGAATATCATAACTAGTAAAGTGACCTATTTGATCGATAAATACATACCCAAGACCAAACCCAGTGCCTATAGGAATACGGGGGGATCCCTACACATGAACCATGCGGCGGCCGACAAAGTTAAGAAGAAAGCCCAGAAATTCAAGACGTGGATTGGATCAAACAATGAGCAGGACAGGAGGATGAATGCAAGAGCCAGAAACCAAGCAAAGGCAGAGTGTAGTAGGGCTGAAAAGGAGTTCCAGAGGTTGGTTGCAAGCGAGGTCAAGTCAATCCCAAAGGCGTTTTACCGCTATGCAGGATAAAGCTGAGGCATTGAACAGCTTCTTTTCCTCAGTGTTCACAAGAGAGGATGCGATTAACCTTCTTGTTTTTGAGGACAGACGGTTCAACACAACACTGACCCACATTGTGTTCACAGAAGAGGGTATTAGGAATAAACTGTCAAAGCTAAAGGTCCATAAGAGTCCCAGCCCTGACATGGTGCATCCAAGAGTGCTAAGAGAGTTGAGCAACGAGCTTGCCGAGCCCCTGAAGATCCTGTTCTGTAAATGCCTGGATGAACAAAAGGTCCCCAGTGATTGGAAAATGGCTCATATGAGTCCTATCTTCATGAAGGGCGATTGTCACTCCATGAACAACTATAGATCGGTGAGCCTGACCAGCATAATATGTAAAGTTCTTGAGAGTATTATCAGGGATGCCGCGATGGAACATCTACTACGAAACAACCGTGTAAAGGATTACCAACACGGTTTTATGCCAGGGCGCTCCTGCTTAACATAATTGCTCAAGGTACAGGTATTGGATATTTGGACCCATATTCTGGAACGGGGTGGTAATATCGACAATATATACAGTCATTTCTGCTACAACTCGTGTTTTGTCAACGCGAATTGGCTATAATGCGATTGATGAATAGAAGAACGATATTTGTAAAACGCGAATGCATGTTGGCTGTAACGCAATTCCACTTGAACATTTTAAGTGTAACAATAATAATAATAATAATTTACGGTTTATTGAAAGAGCTTGGCAGCCAGAAGGCTGAAAATATACAGTTACATATTTGGGAAATGGGTTTCGAATTACAAATAATATACAAGTAACATAAGTGATACAAATAAGATATATAATAACTAGATGGGGAAAAGCTCAAACTACAGTGCATTTCAACATAGTGACAGTGCAAGAAGTAGTATTTACTGGGAGTGAATACACTGGTTTATTACAAGTTATTGATAATTTTTACAATGGTTGGGACTGGGCTGTTCTTATAGCAGTCAGTTCGTACACGTATGGGCTGGATGCGGTTGTGGTGTCGAACAGCAATTCTCGGGCTGGGGATCTCAGGTGGTAGTAGGAGCCGGTGTCGAGGATGGTGTAGAAGCTTCTTACCAAATTTGCAGATGAGGTCGTGGTGATGGTCATTGAGAGTCGAAAGGGTCAGTGTGTTGAGCGCTTCTTGATATGTGGAGTAGGAAGGGGAGAGAATAATCTTGCATGCCCTGTGTACTGTCACTTGGCGCGGGGTTGTGCAGTGTTTACAGTTCACGTTCGACATCACATGTTCAATTGATTCATGTGTTTTGTTTGTGAAGTGTTATTTGATAGGGACTATAAATTTCATAATTTTTTTTGCAAATTTAGCTGTTCCCATAAATACTCTATGAAAAAATTAAATAAAAATAATGTTTCGCAGTGCGGACTAATAGCGTTTTACACCCGCACTCTCTGTTTCCATCACACGATCAGTTGAAACACGTGGGCTGTTTTGTAGCGTCCTCAGTGATTTTTGCTTACTATTTCTCCAATTTTGTGGTATTAACTGTGAATATGGAAAATAAGAATATCTCCAAGCGTTCTGGTGATTGCATTCCCGGTGGTGATCATAAAAGAAAGGCATGACTCCTCAACCTCAAAATCACCCTTCTCCCCCATCAAGTTATACAGTATTCATATTTTTTCAATGTAAAGTGTTACTTTTACTGTATGATTTCATTATTAGATATGAATGTAACATTTATTTAGACTGTGATATGCTGCAAGGGGATGTAGCTTCTTCCCAGAGGGAGACTTCCCTCCCCAGCACCAAGTCTCCCATAGGAGACATAGTCCAGTAGCACCTGCAGCTTCCCCAGCCGCTGGGCCTCTTTCAGGTCACACGTCAGTCATTGTCAGAGCGATCCATTAGGGTCAGTTACTGACGGTGGGAAGTGTATCCATTTCATGTTTGTTGTCCGAGAATCAGTGTCTAGTAACTTCGATATATTGATCTATTAATGTTTCTGTGTCATTGAGTTGAATAATATATAGTTGTACTTAGAGTTGGTGTTAAGAAGATTTCCCCTAAGAATATTTTAACAGTTAAATAACTAACCAGCCACTCTACCAAACTTCTTTACTTTACATTCCCCCTACTATAATTTCTATCTATACTTTCTATTCTAGTTTTCCTTTTGTTACACAAGGCTTAGGAACCAAGGGTGCCGGAAAATCGGTGGTGGACCTGTATTGTAAAAACTCATGATCTTTTATCATTTTAGGAGGACATCATCAGAATGGTACTGGAAGAGATGACAACACTCTTTGAACAAAATCAGCGGGATGTGTAAGTTGATTCTTTGATGTTCTTCTTTACTGATAATTATGACCCCAGTAGTTGCTCAAGAACTACATTGAATTTCTTGGTTGTGTCACTTTATTTATCACACATTAGGGATTATAGTTGTGTAAGTCAGTGGAACAGTCAAACAGAAGAAAAATTTTAGATAATTAATACAGAAGTTATCTTTTGTTCTTTATTTATTACACCAATGAGGCATTTGGCTAAGATTTTTTGTTAGAATATTAGCAATCCTGATTACTGTACATTATAATTATTTCAGATTAATTCCCAATGAAATATTTTATTTTCCATGGGTTACGTCAGTGGTAAAATTAAATACAGTGGTCCCTCGGTTAACGAACACAATTTGTTCCAGAGGGTCATTCCTTGACTGAAAATTTTGTTAACCGAATCCATCGTTTCAATGGGACTTTGGGTAATTGGTTCCAGCTCACCGAAAATTACATATAAAGTAAAAAAAAAAAATGCAGTAAAGTACACTTACTTTGAGGTGTGTATGTAAAAGGCTCCTGGTTGATGATGCTGATGTGAATTTGAAGTGGGAGGTGAAGGAGGAGAAGGGAGAAGAGAAGGAAGTGGGGGTGGAGGAGAAGCATTTTACTGCTTCTTGGAAGGCGAGTCACCTTCCATAATAATGTCAGGAACCTCTGGACTGACAGATTCTCCAACAGGAAAATCCTCTCTCCTTTTTGACGTGGAAGGCTGAGGGGTAGCATCTTTCTCCTGCTGCCTTTTAGAGAAGAAACTCAATTTTTGGTTGTGGGGCATTTCTCCTCCTGATCATTAACTGTTTTTTGAAGGAGACCACTTTGTCCTCAACAGTACACAAAATAGGTTCTGTTGTTTCCACATCAGGGTGCCTTGAAGCCAGTTTCCTGAACATCTCCCTGTGGTGAACATCATCTTTTAAATCGGAAGAAGACATATGGTCATCACTTTCCCTTTCCTCCTCACCTCTGTCTGCTTCTAACGTCACATCCAGTTGCTTCAAGTCTTCAGGAGTAAGTTCCTGCTCATGAGACATCACAAGCTCTTCAACATCCTCCTCCTCCACTTTGAGTTCCATTGACTAACCAATGGACACAGTCTCCTTGTCCAACTCCGTTTCTTCCTCAAATCCCTCAAAATCATCGACTGCTGTTGGCCACACTGCTTTCCACGCAGAGTTCAGGGATCGAATAGAGACTTCTTGTCGTGATGACATGATCAATTTTACAGCCTCCAGGATGTTGTATTGTGTCTTCCAGAACTGTGCCAGTGTTAGATCAGGATCAGTGGTAGTTGCCGATTACAACTTCTGAACATTTTCTTCATGTACAGCTTCTTGAAGTTGCTGATTACATTCTGGTTCATTGGCTGCATAATTGATGTAGTGTTGGGAGGCAAAAACAACACTTTGACAAGGTCAAATCTAGCCTCCAAAGTGCTGGCAAGTTTAGGGTCATGACCAGGGGCGTTATCCAGAAGGAGAAGAGCCTTTAAAGGAAGTTTATTGGTGGTTAGGTAGCTCTTCACTGAAGGGCAAAACACCTCAACAGCCCTTTCATTAAAGAGCTGTCTTGTCACCCATGCCTTACAGTTGGACTTCCAATAAACTCCAAGTTGTCCTCTTACCACTTGTTGTTGCTTGAACACCCTGGGGTTCTCAGAGTGGTAGACAAGCATTGGCTTCAGTCGGAAATCCCCTGAAACATTGGCACCAAGCAATAGAGTGAGTTTATGGGTTTATGCCCCTATAAAGAAGCTTCATCTCTGGTGATGAATGTCCTTTTGGGAATTTTCTTCCAGAACAGCCCGGTTTCATCCACATTGAACACTTGCTGTGGAAGTTAATTTTCTTCATCCTTGAACTCCACTACAAATTTATCTACACTGGCAGCTTCACCATGCCTAACAACACTAAAAATGTCATTTCTTTTCTTAAATTTATCGAACCAGCCTTTGCTGGCCCTAAACTCTTCAAAGTCAGTTTCAGAAGAACTAGGTTGCTCTTCCTTCAAATGTTCGTATATTTCCCTGGCTCTTTCACAAATAAATTCAGTAGAAATTGAATCTCCTTTCATTTGTTTTCCTTAATGCAAATAAGAAGTAACCTCTCTGTTTCTGCAATTAATGATCTACCTTAAAACACTCTGGTAGATTTATCTCTCACTTTTACTTCTTTAAATTTGTCTTTCTGCGCAAGAATTGTCGACACAGTTGATGCCATATTCTTTGCTTAGCACATTTGTTCTAATGCCTTCTTCATGTTTCTTAATGATTTCCTGTTTCACTTGAATTGAAATCGCCTTTCTAGATTTCTTTGGACCCATGCTGGATTCAATACAGTAATTTCACCACTAAAATTTTTAGTTCACTAGCTGTAATTAAAGATTATTTTATTTAAATCAACACTGCACTGTGCTATATATTATTAATATGTTAAATTAGCTCCCATAAGGATCTTCAATTCTGTTAACGAACAAAACTTCGATTAACAAAATCCTTACGACAAATACATTTTGTTGTGAGCATCAGCTGATATGCTAGTCTGCCAATACAGTACAGCTACTACTCGACATACGACCGCCCCAGTCGTACCAAAAAAATTTCAAATTACGTATTTTCGAGTCCTGGCGTTAGTGATTGCGCTGTGTACTGACAAAAAAAATTTTTGTAATCCCCCTTAAAATGGCTGTCATGCTTAAAAGTGAGACTTTTGTGGTGCTGAGAAGAAAAGGAGACACCCATTTTAGATTTTCTATGTATTATTTAAGCATTTTCGACTTACGATCTGGATTTGGGTCCCTAACCCTGTCGTAAGTCGAGGAGCAGCTGTAATCTGTTCTATATTTACATTCATTTCCAGTGGAGTGTATATCAAGAAGGTTGTGTTCTTGAATATTTTTGCATTTTTTATATTAAAATTATTGGTCATTCATAAATTTAGCCATCCAAGTTCTGTCTACATAAAGCTTTTCAACTAATAATTTTGGCTCGATATATGTAACTTTATTCATTTATTGAAACTCATTTACATGTGCACACTGTCCTAAGGGCAAAGCTGTACTGTACATGTAATCAAAATAATGTGCAAAATGGTTATACTAAAATTTTAGTCTAGTGCAAACTATTGCATGTTTACATTCAAATTAATCACCATCTTATAAGAATTCCAGCAATGTAAATTATATTCTCCCCTGTCACTTCTATGACATTTTATAAGCAAAAAACAAAAACTCAATCTAAAGGACATAAATAAACAAATAAATACTTCACTAGACCTTTGGCACTAACTGTCAAACATGTCGCTGTCACCTTCCCTTCCTCCCACCCTCCCCTCCCCCCCCTTCCCAGTAAGGGTTGGTGGTTATACAGTAGGCTGTAAGGTTTTATCTTATATAATATCGCAGACTAAAGTTAGGAGAATATAATTTGCATTGCTGGAATCCTTGCAAGACAGTGAATAATTTGAATATAAACGTCATATATTTTGCACAAGAGATAAAAATTTTTAGTACATTAGTGTACTGTAGTACATTTTATAATGTAAAGTTTTTCAACTGTGTTTTTGGGTAGATTTACATAAATTTCTTCGTTTATTTTCATTCATTTACATGCACACGCCATACTAAAAAAAACGTAAAAGAAATAAATGACCTAAGTGCAAACCTGTACTGTACATGTACTAAATGATTACGGTACTAAAATTTTTATGTCTAGTGCAAATTATAGCTTGTTTATATTCAAATTAATCATTATCTTACAAGAATCCCAGCAATGTAAATTATATTCTCCCAGTCATTTCACTGGCATTTTATAAAAGAGAAGCTTAGTCACTTAAGGACTGATAAATAAACACACATTAGACCTTCAGCGCCAACTATCAAACACATCACCTCACCTCCTTCTCGCTCCCTCCCTCCCTCTCCTCCATCTGCCCAGCCAGGGTTTTAAGCTTAGTTTTTTTCTTATATAATATCTCAGACTAAAGTTAGGAGAATATAATTTGCATTGCTGGAATCCTTGCAAGACAGTTGAAACACGGGGCTGTTTTGAAGCGTCCTCAGTGATTTTTGCTTACTATTTCTCCAATTTTGTGGTATTAACTGTGAATATGGGAAAGAAGAATATCTCCAAGAAGCATTCTAGTGATCGCATTCCCAGTGGTGATCGTAAAAGAAAGGCTATAACACTTGAAGAGAAGCTTGATGTTATCAAGTGTTTTGAACGTAAGGAAACAACATGTGATATTGTGCGTGCAATGGGAATAGCTAAATTTGCAAAAAAAGGATCCTTTGTGTTCGGCTAACTACAGTAATACCCCGATTTACGCAATCAATTGAACCCGCGGAGGCCCTTGTAAAATGGGAAATGCGTAAATGGAACAACAGAACATATGGGATTAATTGAAATAGAGACTGGGCCGACCCCCAAACTCCACTTTTTCCTGACACTACGTACGCTGTAGTAAAAATAACATCTTAATTTTATGATGGTATGCACACACACATAATATAGAAGAAAAATATCAATAAGAGAATAATATACTGTACCAGATAAAAGAAAAATCAAGGTTTAACACTTATGTCAGGTTAGGTTAGGTTAGAAAAAATCAAGGTTTAACACTTATGTAAGGTTAGGTTATGTTTTAAAAAATCGAGGTTTAACACTTATGTAAGGTTAGGTTATGTTTTAAAAAATCAAGGTTTAACACTTACCTAAGGTTAGGTTATGTTAGGAAAAATCAAAGTTAGGTTTAACATTTACGTTAGTAGAAGAGATGGGTCGGCGTATGGGAATGGCGGCTGGTTCCGAGGCAGAGGGCAGACTACTGGCCCTCAGATGAGTCACCATCACTGTCCTCCACATTTGTCAGGGCCTCCCTGACAAATCCCTCAAAGTCACCATCACTGTCTCTGTCACTATCACTGGCTTGGGCTGGCTGTGGTGGGTTGCGGGCGAACAACTCGGTAATGCTTTGTTGACAGCGAGTGTTGATGTTGTCATGATACACCTTGATGTACGGCTCCATAGCCTACAACAGCTGGGTGGTGAAGACTTCATACCGGTTATCGTTAGGGTCGTCGGAAAGGAGGAGCTTCAGTTTCTCTGCACACTCGATGGCATCCCTAACATTACCATGCGTTAACTTGTGTTCTTCTCGGGATGACGCACCACCTGCCTCTTCACTGACGTGATCGTCTTCTAGCATCTCTTCAGCAGTCACCTCAGGATCCCTGATCACCTCCAGGATGTCTTCGTTGGTGGTCTCAGAGAAGCCTGCAGCTGTAACACTCTGCGCAGCTTCTCTGGCAAGGTCCACTGCTACTGCTACAGACTGAACCTCACCAGTCACAGGTTGACTCTGCCTCCCACCTGGGATACCTTGCAACACATGTCTCCATGCGTGACGAACCGTTGCTACAGACAGCTGATCCCATGCCTCCACCAAGAAGTCCACAGCTTTCTTGACGTTAAATTTCCTCCAAAAGTGTTTCACGAGAACTTCTTGACCCGCCAACTGTTGTTCCTCGTCCTCATCGCTCTTGCTATCGGTGTCACCCAGGTTACACAACTCATCCTTGGTGTTGGTACAGTCGTTCAGAAGCTTAAACTTCTTTGCAGAGTATGCAGCTTTCACATTGCAGATTAATTCTTGGTCCATGGGCTGGATTAATGACGTAGTGTTGGGAGGAAGGAAGACCACTTTTACGTTGGGATGACGATCCAACAGTAGGGGCGAGTGTCCTGGTGCGTTGTCAAGGAGCAACAAAATCTTGAATGGAACATTCTGTTGCTCACAGAATTTCTTCACGTCGGGAACGAAACAGTCATCAAACCAGGAGAGGGACAGAGCAGAGAACATCCACGCCTTACGTGCGGTCAGCCAGTGGACATTTCGCATGGTCATGTCCATGTTCTTGCAGGCGTGTGGCTTGCGGGCTGTGTGGATCACCGATAACTTGAGTTTACAGGAACCGGAGGCATTGGTGGTAAGCAGGTTGGTGATGCGCTCCTTCTGCAACTTCTGGCCCCGACATTTGCTGGCAGACTGGACAACGAAGGTCTTGGAAGGTAGCTTTTTCCAAAACAGACCGGATTCGTCCATGTTGAACACCTGGTCATCGATGTACTGTCCTTCCTCCATAGTCTCACGTAAGAACAAAGGAAAATCCCTAGCTGCAACACGGTCAGCACTCGCTTCTTCACCACCAATGTTAATGTTGGAGATCTTGTTCCTCTTCTTAAACCTGTGTAATTCCCATCTTACGTGACACTGCTGTGATACAGTTCACGTGCGTACTCCTGAACTGACCGTGTGTCGACCGCCATGTTCCGTCTTGCCTGACGAATCAAGTACAGTAACACACAAGTAAATTTTCTGTCTTGAGAAGCACCTTGTTCTGGCAATACTTGATCATTGAAGCACCTGCAGACTTTGTGATGTTCATGTGTTCTTTTATCTTGGCTGCATCCTTCTTGATCGTCCGGATCGTAGATTCGTTAACACCATGCTGGTGCGCGAGATCAACCTGTCTTGTTCCTTTTTCTAACTCTTGTATTATACTGTACTTCACCTCGTAACTTAGGGCATGTCGTATCTTCTTTGGCTTAGGGCGGCTGGGTCCAGGTAATGCAAGGTTTTTCTGTGGTGGTCCGGCGGCAGCCATTCTTACGAAACAATAGATACCTGTATACACGGTGTGGCCGGGAGGGATGTAACTGACGCAGCTAGGTCAAGCGCCTTCTACCCGCCTGCGGGAAGGCACGTCATATTACATTAAACCAATCACAGCTAGCGGCGTAGGGAGGTAAGGATGCGTGGCCCAATCAGTCCGATACGTCATATGACGTCAGCGATAACGCAACAGAGACATCCACTGCGCAACTTGCTCACGCCGCTTGCCTAAGCATGGCGGGAGGTTTGAATCCAAAAATGGCGGCACGGCAGGACCGCCAGCCACTCTCCACGTATATGAGTAGATACACAGCGTAAAGTGGGAATTCCGGTTCTGGCGGGGTACTGCGTAAATGTGGAAACACGTAAACGGGAACCGCGTAAATTGGAGTATTACTGAACTAAATTTTTTTTTATTTCGAGTAATCTGCACCAAACCCTATTTTCTCCAAAAGACCTGTTATTTCTATTGTGCGAATTTCTACAACGCGAGGTTTTACAAGAACACAACTATCGTATTGTAGCAGAACTGACTGTATCCTAATTGGGATATGTAAATTAACATTTTACCTTCTGGTAAATGTTCCTAATATTGGAAAATATTTCCAAAAGTTTATAATTATAATCTGGACCTAAGCTAGCGGAGCCTTATACGCAATGTCACCTCCCTTTCCACCTCCTGCTCGGATAATCAAAGCTAGACGCATTCTGGATTGAACAAAAAGTAGTTTTTTTCTAAAACCAGTTTTTGTGATAAAGTCCAGAATGCAACGTCGACATACCACCCATCTCCATCCCTCGAGAGTTGACATTTGTTTACTGCTTGCTCTAGGGCAGCAATGCATGTGATGGGGGGTGCAGGAGGGGGTTTTGAGAATTGCAATTAAATGCCAGGTAGCGACGTGTCCTCCTCATATTATGTATACAGGTATAAATAATTTTTAGATGTTTTAATTGCCTGTATGTTGGCCTGGCGAATTAATGCTAGGCATTTACATACCTAGGTATAAAGCTAGACCTCGCATTCTGGACTTTATCACAAAAACTTTTTTAGAAAAAACTGTTTTATTTTGTTCAGTACTTAAAGTTTTATTTATTTTTTTCTTCTAAGGAATGCAACAGTAGCTGGTGATGTACGTTTCTTTTCTGGGGTTCACCTGCGACATGCTGCTCTAGAGAGGAATAAGAGATGTTTGCTGGCTTACTTGTAAGTTGGTACTGTACTGTACTGTAGTCTCTTTATGGTATTTTGTATTGTTTTAAGTGTAATGGAATTTACAGCAATCTCACCACAATTTAGCATTATTGAATTTGTAATCATATGTACTGTACTCCTAATTCAGAGCATTTTGGTGGTTCTGAAATCTTATATTGAAATTTCTAATAATTATCATGCCAGTGTATCCCTGTACTGTACTCTAAATTGGTAGAAATATTAACCTAAATAATTTACAAGAGGAATTGCTCATTACAGCTAGTGAAGACAATATTTCTGCAGATATTTTGCCCTGTACTGTACACAGATCTGTCCATCACCGTATTTAAAGATAAGGTGCATTTAAGGATAAATTTAAGGAAAACACTGAATGTATCGAATATGAGGGCAAAGTACAGTAATGTGTCCAGGAGTCAAAGTGTGAAGTGTGGCTGCAGTATATAGGCAGCATATAGAAAGAATTAAATATTTAGATAATTTGGTAGTTTTTATTTTGAGGACAGGAACTGCATTAGGGAGATATAGTATTAGACGAGTATGCAACCCTAGACAGTATTAAGTATTGTACTGGAGATATGACTGAAGGCACTTATGCTGGTGATCAAACGCTTCATCATTTTTAAGTCAATTTTACAAAGTTTGAAGAGAAGAGAAAGGTAACTTACTAACAGTATATTGATTTAATTTCCAATGAGTTTTTTTTTTATCATTCAGTGTTGGAAAAATCAGACTTCTGGATTCATCAATTTGCATTCTTCACTGATTACTGTATGTGAAATTATTGCAAATATTATTTTTATTAACAAGGGATTTAAACATCCCTTTTCCTTTCAAATGTATTTTTTTTTATTTCTTACTCAAACTACAAGCAAATACCAACACTTCTCTTTTGGAACTAAACTTACTTGTTGAATCCGGGTAAATGCTCTGAACGTGTCTTCATGGCTTGATTTGAAGGAATAGAACCAGTGCAGGAAATGGCATATAAAATAATAACTGGTTGAGTTATGAAAATCTGTTGTCTTACACCAATATATGTAATTTTTAAATGACTTTCATTACAGATACAACAGGTTAGACAGAATTAAAGCTATGAGATGGGAATTTGGCAGTATTCTACCTGCTGACATACGGGCAAATATTTGTGAACCTGAGGTCAGTTGATAGCACTAAAACTTTTAGGTTCAGTAATGATGAATTATGGTATTTTATAGCTCATTACACTCTTCAACAGTTCATAAGGCAGTGGCACATCTAACTTACGGAAAATTAAGACTGAAATTAACAATAGAAAGAATTAATTAAAATTAAGACTGAAATACTGTACTGTACAACAATAGAAATAATGATTTGGAATTTATAGTAAACTGCATTACAGATAGCAATAATATACATTATAAAGAAAAGTTTTTCTGTATTTGATAAGAAGAATGGATGGGGTACACATGAGAATAATATTTGATAAAATGTTGATAATTTGGATTAAAAATATTTTTGGAGTTTACCTAATGCAGGTCATGAGTTCCAGGAACTTTGTTTATCTTATACATATTGGCCAGTACAGTACAGGTATCTAGTTTTGGCCTTCCTGCATTTTTTTCTCAATTTCATTCTTTTTTCTCATCTTGATAACATAAGTGTTCTTTCTACCACCTATTAATGTCGTTCACTTACAAGAACTTAAGTGCCTTTATGTTCTTCCATGTCTTTTCTTGCAGTAGATATAACTGATTATTAGTTTTAATTGTTCTCCATCATCTCCAACAGGATATGGAAATAGTACTGTAACGGCTCACGGCATGACTGGGGTGAGGTTGGGTTTGAATGAGATTCGTCCAGTATTACTCGACAACGTTTTATTCTGTCATACCTGGTAATACATGTCCCACTATCAGTTGTAAATACCAAACACACAAACAGTATCCATCATTCTTCGTATTTATCTCATATCGAATAATAATAGCAATCAAGTGATTAACTTCTCAAGTTGGCTGAATACAATTCCTCAAACTCACTCGTGACGGATCTGTTGCTATGACACACATAAGAACAGTAGCAGACGATTTTGGGCGAGTTATCGCTGTACACTAAACTCTATAGCTGGGTCACTGACGCACAGTTGCTAGATATTGGTTAGAAGTCGTCTCCGGACACGAAACCAAACCACCTCGTGTGCTCACTGCATCTCACACACTGCCCTCCTATGCCTCGTCTGCTCGCTGTCCTCACACACTGTCATCCTATAGCTAAAACCCACATCTGTCCACCACATCTCATTCTCTTATCGAGTAGCTAATGGACTTGTTGCTGACGCTTCAAAATACAACCCTCATTTCTCTCTCCTATCTCTTCCCCTTCCCTTCTCTTCCTACTGCATCTCATGTCCCATAAGATGCGGTAAAAAGTACTAATTGATTCATGTGTTTGTACCCATCCAGCCATCTGTCTGCCTGTTTTGGGAGATTTTGTAAATATAAAGAGAAATGGTTTTTGATGAAATTTTAATTGGAAATACAACCCAACGAGATGTCTGAAGAGTTATATGATCTGTATTGTCCCTCTATATTTAGGGAAGATATACTGTACAGTAGTCTGATATGTCTCTATGGCAACAGGCTACATTAAATTCTTATACAATAATCAGCTTGTAAATTAGTTAACTTTTACTCCTTTAAAATCCTAATTTATACTTAAGAAACTCAGTTGACTTGATAATTTCCTTTTGTGTCCATATTCTGGCTCAGTAGCTGCTAATTTGTGTAAAGTTATGAGTAAACCAAGATATTGTAGTTATTTGAGGTCTTGCTGCAGCAGGGAAATAATGTAGCAAAGTACAGTACTATAGTTGCAGCAGTAAGAATTAATGAATGAGGGTAGCTGCTTTGTTATCAGCATTTGATTCCAGCCACCATGTGTTGCATTGTTGTGAAGCAACCCCTCTTAAGTTAAAACAAGCATTATGGGTATACAGTAGTTCATATGATTGTACACTTTTTTATCAATAAGTTCTGAGAAACTTACTGCTTGTTTTTGTAGGTAAAGTAGCATCTTAAAATTCCAGATTCAGTGGTTTAACAGGTACAACAAGAATCTGGCATCATACATGAGGTCGCTGGGTGAAGGCACTGGCTTAGACCTAACACAAGACACAAAACCACCAAAAAATCTTTATGTTGAGGTTAGTACTATACAGTATACATAATTTTATCAGATGTTTAGAAAATGTTAGTCAAAGTATTATTGAACAGTTATCATTTCATGAGAGAATTACTCCAGTTGAATGTTAATTGTGCAATACTTTTATTTTATATTGGCTACAGGTTGACAATCCCTTATCCGAAATCCTTGGGACCAGAGGCATTTCGGATTTCGGAATTTTTCGGTTTTCAGAATGGTTATTTTTTTATTTTTATTTTTTGGGGTGTATTAGCCCATCCGGGCACAAGTCACTGACCCACATTGGGGCCTGAGGGGCGAAAATGTAATAATAATTATAATACTAATAATAATAATAATAATAATACAGGTAATAATAATAATTCATAGGTCTAGGTCGTGTTACTCACTTTTTATCTTTTTTTCATTCTTGTATTTCTTTATTATTATTATTATCATTATTATTAATACAGTATTATTGTTATCATTATTATTTTATTTTGGTGTATTTTTTGATTAAAATTTGTATTTACTATGAATAATTACAGGTATTATTATTACCGGTATAATTATTATTATTAGTATTATTATTATAATTAGTATTACTATTACATTTTCGCCCCCCAGGCCCCGATGTGGGTCAGTGATCTATGCCTGGGTGGGCTAATCCCCGTAAGGAAAAAAAAAATGCTCTACAAAAAACTTTCGGTTTTCAGAGCTTTTCGGTTTTCGGAATTTCGGATAAAGGGTTGTCAACCTGTATAAGCATTTTTTTTCATATGAAGCTTGTCATGATATCATTTAGTAACATTCTGTAGAAGTGTAGGAAAGATGGAAGTTGCTAAAGTGGATAGTAAGAAATGCATATACATTACTGTAACAGGATTTCTTGAATTGGAATTGTCATGAGAATTTCAGTTTACTGATTGATAAATATAGCAGGCACTGTATGTTGAGCATTTGTAAAAGATATTTCAACCACAACAGATTTGTTGAGAAGATAATTGTTTGGTAAATATATTTCAACCATGCCAGAATTATTAGTAGTTGCATGGTGAATGTAAATACAGTGACCCCTCGGTTAACGAACTCAATCCGTTCCAGAAGGTCGTTCGTTAACCGAAAAGTTCGTTAACCGAAACCATTGTTTCAATGGGTTTTTTGGGTAATTGGTTCCAGCTCACCGAAAATTTCCTAAATTCAACAAAAATGGTAGAAAAGTTCACTTACTTTGAGGTGTGTATGTAGAAGGCTCCTGGATGATGATGATGATGGGAATTAGAATGGGGGTGGAGGAGAAGGAAGAAGAGAAGGCATTGGGGTGGAAGAGAAGTCACCTCATGGCACCATTTCACCCATAAAATTTTAGTTTTTGTTGTATTTCAAGATTATTTTCTTTAAATCAACACTGCACTGCATTATATATTGTCAATATGTAAAATATATTTAAAAAAGACCAATAATTTGCTTGGAAACACAGAAAAAAGCGTTTAGTTGAAGAGAGTCTCAAGCAAGATGTTACCTCCAGTGAAAACAGAGAGAGACTAACGCCTATTTGCTGTATTAAGAGGCTGGATGCCGCGCATTAAACTAGTCACTTTACCTTCACTTATGTTCAATAATTGTTAAAATGACTAAAAAATTTAATATTAAACTTTTAAAATTATTGAATAGTATAAACTTCTTGATATTTACTAAAATAGTAAGGAATTTAAGCCCTAGAACCGATTAATGTATTGGCGGACTGATACTAAAGCTGGTTGCCCGGCCACTGCGAGCGAAAACATGTTGAGGTCGGTTCGTAAGAAATTCGTTAACCGAATTTTTGTTCGTTAACCGAATTGAAGATCCTTATGGAAGGCAGTTCGTTAACCGAAATTTCGTTAACCGAGGCGTTCGTTAAACGAGGGGTCACTGTAATGTAGCATTTCTGAGAGGGGAAAGATTATAACTGAAATAACAGATAAATGTTGTTCAGTTTTAATACTGTACCTTGATAAAGTACATGGTATAGATTGAGTAATAGTAAGCTATCTGAACCATCTTGGAGACCATTAGATTATTTTGGCAGGTTTGTACAAAAATTACTCACTGTATTGTATCATAGTATTTACTTGACATATGTGTGGAGTCAGAGGTGGACTGTCAGAACATAACATATACACCCTGTACAGTACTGTATGAAGCAGAAAGGTATGTGAAGGGAATGTAGGATACTGAGATGGGGAGGGAATAGGAGAGGATCATGTGAAAATGGTCAACATAAAGGGGGTATATGTGCTATCTGTATCAATATTAAACCTTTGCACTTTTAAAATTTAAGGTTATGGAATTCAGCCTTTTTCATTTTTATTTAATTTACCTACACTTTGGGGCTATCAGATGCATACAGTATTTATAGTTTGGGAAAAAGTCAGAAATCTCAACACATAATGCAAAACTACTGTATGGTGGCCCACATTTTAATATGATTGGCCTAAGGGCTGACCTGACCTTGATGATGCAAGGATGCTGCCTTGCATCCATGTGACCATGAATTTAATTCTTTGTGCACAATTGTTCTGTTAACATTTTATACTTACGTTGTTTCTGCTCAGCCAGAATTTGTATACTATTTGCTCTTTTTATGTACAGTCAAGGAAGTGATTTCTCAGTTTTTTTTATCATGGTTTTAGGCGACCTAAGTGAATTGCATAGATCCGTTGAGAAAAATGGGGGGTAGAACCACGACGAGAGCAATGTTTGACAGTAAATAACAATAATTGACCCTCTAGGGTCGATGGGTCTGTCACGCGAGGATGATGAATCAGTATACTGAGTATAGTGGCCATACTCTACATGTTCATGCATTACATCATGCTCTATTTCTCATTGGCTGAGTATTGCTTGTTTTGCTTTTTATTCTTCAATTCTTTAGCATTTCATTGACCTAAGATCAATGAGATTATACAATGCCACTATTAGAAGCATTATAATATGCCCCCCCCTCCACCCTATCCACTTGATCCACCCTCCCCCGCCTCCAATATAGCTAAGTTTTTATAATTATTTTTCATTTTCTGATGACCATAATTTATTCAATAACCCATGCCATATTTCACAGTTGTCAAGGCAACTCAGTAGAGTGTGTTTGTGTCCTCAGGAGGTCAGGGCGATAGGGCATGTTTGTGTTCCACAGGAGTCAGGGCTGTAGGGCATGTGTATGTCCTGAAGGAGGTCAGGGCTGTAGGGCATGTTTGTGTCCCCCAGGAGGTCAGGGCGATAGGGCACGTGTATGTCCCCCAGGAGGTCAGGGCTGTAGGGCATGTTTGTGTTCCACAGGAGTCAGGGCTGTAGGGCATGTGTGTCCTGAAGGAGGTCAGGGCTGTAGGGCATGTGTGTGTCCCCAGGAGGTCAGGGCTGTAGGGCATATGTGTGTCCCCCAGGAGGTCAGGGCTGTAGGGCATGTTTGTGTCCCCCAGGAGGTCAGGGCTGTAGGGCATGTGTGTGTCCCCCAGGAGGTCAGGGCTGTAGGGCATGTTTGTGTTCCCCAGGAGGTCAGGGCTATAGGGCATGTGTGTTGATGTAGGGCTGTCAGGCTTGTCCCAGGAGGTCAGGGCAATAGGGCACATGGTCCCCAGGAGGTCAGGGCTGTAGGGCATGTTTGTGTTCCACAGGAGTCAGGGCTGGGGCATGTGTATGTCCTGAAGGAGGTCAGGGCTGTGGGCTTGTGTGCCCCAGGAGGTCAGGGCAATAGGGCACATGTATGTCCCCAGGAGGTCAGGGCTGTAGGGCATGTTTGTGTTCCACAGAGTCAGGGCTGTAGGCATGAGGTCCTGAAGGAGGTTAGGGCTGTAGGGCATGTTTGTGTCTCCCAGGAGGTCAGGGCTATAGGGCATGTGTATGTCCCCCAGGAGGTCAGGGCTGTAGGGCATGTTTGTGTTCCCCAGGAGTTCAGGGCTGTAGGGCATGTGTATGTCCCGAAGAGGTCAGGGCTGTAGGGCATACACTTTGGTTCAGTGGGAGAAACTCGCTGATTGGTTGTTAGCTATTCGGGCCGCTCGGGTGCTGCACAAGGCTAACGCCTGATCAAGGCGTTTGCTTTTCCCTTTCAAAGTGTCATGCTCACAACTCAGCAGAAGCGTCTGCATAGACAGAATAGCTAACGTGTTAGCTATTCCGTGTATCTAAAACGCCTTACATTAAACGCCTTAAATATACAGTCAGTCCCCGACTTACTCCGGGGTTAGGGACCGACTATCAGGTCGTAAGTCGAAAATGCAAAAATAATACAAAGAAAATCTAAAATGAAATATGGTACAGTAAAAGTAATCAATAATGAAAAATGAATAAAGTGTAACTGTGCACTTACCTTTAATGTAGTCTGCTGAATGCACACAGGGCCTCAATAATTTTTTAATTAAACATGGAGACTACATTAATTGGATGAAGCAGAGGAGGAGACAGGGCTGGGTGGGTCATCAATTTTGCTTTCTTCAGACAGGCTAACATACTTGCTTGTTGAAGGTATTGGATCATCTTTAGGGAGTGAAGAGGCAGCAGTGGTGGGGCGTGAGGAGACAGCAGTGGGGGACTTCTTAAAATATATGTCCAATTTAGACTGCACAGTTTGCCCTTTCTTTTCATTGTAAATCTCCTTGTGGCAAGCAAGTGCATCTTGGATCATTCTGTCAACTTTTGCAAAATGCTCAACATTTTGATCCAGTTTGTCAAACATTTGCATCCCCTTATTAATGCTGTAGTAGCAAATGCCTCTGCCATTTGTTTCACTGAAATTTTTTTGTGGGGTGTAGATTCTTCTTCTACATTTTGTCTCTCTTCTTCCTCTGCAATTTTCTGTGCATCCAGTTCAATAAGATCCTCGTTACTTAGCTCTTCTGCTACACTTTCAACCAACTGCTCAACATCTTCATTATCAATTTCTAACTCCAGCTGTTTACCCAACCCCACTATCTTGTTACTAATCTCAGAAATTGCTTCAATTTCATTAAATCCTTTGAAACTGTTCACATATCTTTTCAGGACCTTCCATATTCCATTCATGCGCTGACCTGTAACCTCATCCCATGCTGCAGCTATGTTCTTTATACATTTCAAAATGTTGTAGTCCTTCCAAAACCCTCTGAGCGTTTTCTCACCTTCAGCAGCAGCAACAGCCTGAGCGAAGGTCGTATGTAAATAATACGCTTTAAAAGCAGCAATAGCACCTTGATCCATGGGTTGGATGATAGAGGTAGTGTTAGGTGGAATGTAGACTACCTTAACATCAGGGTGCAGGTCGTCCAGGTGTGTCCCGGAGCATCATCTAAAATTAATAAAATCTTGAACGCAACCTCTTGTTGCAGACAATTCTCCTTGGCTCGTGGAATGAAACAATTCAGGAACCGATCCTCAAACAGTGCTAGGGTCATCCATGCTTTCTTATTACTGCGATAAAATACTGGCAGTGTGTGCTTTCTGACCTTTTTAAAAGCCCTTGGGTTCTCTGAATGATATATCATGAAGGGTTTTACCTTGAAACCAGCTACTTTCCCCCCAACAGAAGTGTGATTCGGTCCTTGAATGCCTTGAATCCCAGCATGGTTTTCTCCTCTTTGTGGATGTATGTCCATTCTGGCATGCGCTTCCAGAATAAGCCAGTTTCATCCACATTAAATATTTGCTCTTGCAAATAATTTCCCTCCACGATGACACGATCTAGCTCCTCCTTAAAAGCTTCGGCAGCACCCACATCAGCACTTGCTGCCTCTCCACTCACCTTTGCACTGTGCAAACTGTAACGGTTCTTAAACTTTTGGAACCACCCATGACTTGCTGTGAAGTTTTGGTCGCACTCATCTTCTGCCTGCTCTTTCAGGCTTTTAAAAAGGCTTCTTGCCTTAGCCTGTATGGTTAGAAGGCTGAAGGGTACGCACTTTTGCAGCTGATCTTCCATCCACACCACAAGTAATATTTCCATCTCATAAAGAGGACCTTGTCTTTTTTTCGTTATTATTGTTCCCTTTATAGGTGCTGTTCTTTTCACTACCTCACGAATTCGCTCCTTGTCCTTCAAAATTGTTGATATCGTCGAGTGAGAGAAGCCAAGGTCGCATGAAATAGTTGCTACCGTTTTTCCATTTTCATATTGCATTATTATTTTCATTTTCATCTCAAAAGTAATTGACTGTCTCTTTTTCTTCTGAGCACCACCAGAACTCTCACTTTTACACTTGCCAGTCATTTTAAAGGGAATTAGAAACGAAAATATTGTCAGTACACAGCACGATCACTAACGACAACAACGACGGCCAAACACCAACTGAGCGCGCTACGGCGTGGATGCTGTACACCACGAGGCGGCCCAGCCCACGCCACTCTGTTGTACGGGACGGAAACATTTCGGTACTAGAAAATACTTATGGAATTTGAACAAAATTTTGTACGACTGTGGCGGTTGTATGTTCGGGTGATCGTAAATCGAGTTGGTCGTAAGTCGAGGAGTACCTGTATTGAACAGTTCCAAAGCATTTTGCACAAAGCTGGAGTGAATAGTAAGTAAAATTTTAAGGGTTCACTGTATCTTGTTAAATTATATTAGAAAAAATATTCTCTCATAATACTGAATAAATTTTAATTCTTCTTATACAGGTACGCTGCCTTAAGGATTATGGTGAATTTGAGCTCGAAGAAGGAGACATTGTTGTTCTACAGAAAAACACCACCCATTATCTTCCCATGTCTCACTGTCAGCATCTAATCCGACAAGGCATCCTTGAACAAGTAGAATGATGGTACAAATTTAATATGCCTTAAAATCATATAGCTATCCAAAATGATGGTATAAATTTGATAGGCCGTATATGTCGGCTTATAAGACAGAATTTGAACCTTAAAAAATCAGCCCAAACTTAGGGGTCGTCTTAAACGCCGGGTATAAAATCCAAACCTCTACATCCTGTGGTTTAGTGTATATATTAAAATAATAACAAATGTATTATAAACCTGTCTAACATATTGTAAATGCCGTAAAATAACAACATAATAAAAGCTGGTATTATTACTCACCGCCCTCCATCTGCAACTGCCGCCGAAGTAAACAAACAACCGTCTTTAAATACCAGTACGGTATTTAAAGACAGTTTCTTGGATAGGCTCAAGTTGCCATTCCTTCATAAGCAGTAGCACTCTCTACGGGTGAACATTATATTAATATCCAGCTACCATAAAACCCCATCATGGCTCTAAATTCTAAACGAAGGAGATATAAAGCTTATTTTAAGCTGAAAGTGGTAGCATATGCCAAGTCACACAACAATTGTGCTGCTGCAAGAGAATGCGGTGTAACCGAGAAGATGGTACGAGAATGGAGATTAAAGGAACACTTGCTGAATTAGAATAGACGAGACCAAAGGCTGGTGTAAACAGTCTGAACACAGTCCTACCGATCGTCTCGCGAAGCAAGTTTATAAATTAAAGAAAATACCTGCAGTGTATTTAATGCCAACATTTCTAATATATTACAGTATATTATAAATAAATAAATAACAAATAAATCAATCAATCCATTTCAAGTAAATGGTAAAATTTTACTCGACACCGACATTAGTTCCAGTAAAACGCCTAAGTGACGTCACTAGTGTTTACACTACACCAGCTGGTAACGTTTGATGCCATTACTTGAAGTGAATTGGCCTTATTTTAAATAACCAAGGATGTGTTGCTTAGCAGTATGTTTAACAGCATCACTCCACTGGTCAGTGGGATGGTTGGTAAAGGACAACTGGGGCAGTAAGCTCCCAGTGGTAAGTGTCAGATTTGCGGTAGTCTTATACAGCGAGTATAGCTCAAAACCTACGTTCTAAATGGAAATTTTTTGGGCCGTTTTATACACCCCGTGGCCTTGTATGCTGACATATATGGTATTGTAGTCATATACCAATCCATAATGGTGGTACTAATTTAATATGATAAAAGTACACTGCAGTATATTTTTTAATGTGAACAGAAATTGATTGTTTTATGCTCTTAAGATATTGAATGATTGAGACCTTCAAATTATTTTATTCTTAATACTGTATAAGCCTTTTGATACATTAATAAAATTCCACATTATAAAATGGAATGTTATTTTCTTTCAATTCTGCATTTGTTTCTGGTGAGGTATGACAGCAATGTGGATGACCATAAGATTTTCGATGATGCTAACACTGTCTAAGGTGAACTGAAAGATACATGATTGAAATTGGAGGTACTTTATAGTACTTGTCTTCTAGTTATGGCTGATGGTGTTTGGTGCAGGAAAAGTGTACATTGTAGATATAAAGATGTGTAGCGAGGAAACACTAGTAACCAAAGATGTGATAATTAAAATGTGCGAAAAGGTTGATGCTGTTGTGTGAGTGGTGTTAGATAAGTAGAGGATTAATAAAGCTGGGTAGTGAGATTTCAGGTTGATAGATAGAATTTCATTATACTGTACTGTACTTTAGTATGCAAAAAAATAGAGGAAGAAAAGACCCAAAATTATGAATATTAAAGTGAAAATATACTAGAAATAAGACTCAGGTAGAGGAATAAAGATTGCTTGCTTTCTATTGATGAGTGATTATGAGTGACTAAGGTACCATACTGTATATTCAAATGGAAATGGGTAGGCAGTTGGTAGTAGGCAGCTATCAAGCAGGGTGGTACTACTGCCTGGGAAAATATTGGAAGCATTATGTGTTATCTGTTGGTAAATCATGCTGCCATAGCATCACAGAAATTGCGACCAAGTCCCAGGCTAGTCCCCATATAAAAATATTCAAATGGAAATGGGTGAATAAGGTGTATTTAAATTATATTGGTTGACGGGTACTTCAAGCTATACTGGGTGAAAAATTTATTCCAGTGATAATGAATGACTGATTTATATTCCAGCCTCAACACAAAGCGACTAAGATGATTCCTGAACTATGTCATCTTGATTATCCAAGTAGACTGAGGGCCTTAGGACTAACAACCCTTCAGACAAGCCACAATAGAGCAGATCTCATTGAAACATTCAAAATCTTGAAAAGCATGGAAAACATGAACCCAGGACATTTCTTTGCAATGTCTCACACCACCAACATGAGAGGATATAACTACAAGCTCGCCAAAGTTATTGTGCAGAGTAGGCACGTGCACAGGTAGGGCTCAAGTTATGAAGTGCCTTCCTCAATTTTTTTTTTTTCAATCATCAGTAACAAGAGGGTAGGGTATCCACTAGCCATGAAAAAAGAGGCATTTAAGATGCAAAGAACTTAGGGAGGAAAAGATCCTCTTATATTATTCTAAAGCCAAGTACTGTACAGTATAAACACCCTGCTATAATATTATCTGTGGTGCGCTTTTGCAGCAAAGCTTGGATTTTAGTAGAGACGTGGTTGAGCTATAAAGTACAGTAGCATTCATTGACCCTTTTCTTTGGTTGTCTAATAATGTCATTGTATGGCATATTATTCATCTGCACATGAAGTTGAAGTATGTACAGGTTGTACCTCTCTAGTCCGGCAACCTCGGGACCTGACCGGTGCCGGACCATGGAAATTCACCCTGGAAACACCCAACATGAAGCATAAAAACAGAAGTTAGGACATATATATATGAGAAAAAGTAATACAGTATAGTCTGGATTTACGCGTTTGGTCATTTACGCGGTGCCTTGCCAGAATGAAATGTTTTAATTACGCAGTAAATTTCATCATTTATGCGGGAAGTGGCGCGGGCAAGGTGCACACAAGGTCGCCCAGTCATCAAAACATTACCGAGTTCTTCACCCGCCACCCTCCACAGCCGGCCCAAGTCAGTGATAGTGATAGTTAGGATATGGACTTTGAGGGGTTTGACAAAGAGGCCCTGCAAGCCTCTGTGGTGGATAGTGATACAATTGATACAAGTGATACAGGTGAGGGCCAATAATCTGCCCTCTGCCTCAGAACCAACCCCCCATCCCTGTGTGCCCAGCCATCTTTTCTACTAACGTAAATGTTAAAAAAACCTAATATTGATATTTCTCTTAAATAGTAATTGTGTGTGCATACCATCATAAAATTAAGATGTTATTTTTACTACAACGTACGTATTGTGTCGGAAAAAGTGGAGTTTGGGAGTCGGCCTAGTCTCTATTTCAATTAATCCCATATGTTCTGCTATTTCATTTACGCGTTTCTCGTTTTACGCGGACCTCCACGGGTTCAATTGACCGCGTAAATGCAGACTATAATGTACTGTTAAAATACTATTTCATTTACCTTTAATGCTACCATAATTCTGCTTCCAAAGTGAAGTGATGGTACTGTAACTAAAATTACATTTGAGTTACATCGGGGATGTTATGTTGGCTATTGGGTAAACTAAAATCGTTCCAGACCACGGGAGTTTCCGGACCACAGAATGCTGGACTAGAGAGGTACAACCTGTATTGACAACCAGTATTTCGTAAGGAAGCAGTTTGCCTGTTGCTTTTTTTTTTTTTGCATACTGTATTACCTACTGTTTATTTTCATTAAAAAAATTTAAATATACCAAAATTCAAGGGACATTCATAGCAACTGCATATAGCCTCATAATGGCCCTCAATTAGATCAGATTTCAAAAAAATTCCCAAGGGGTGCTTAAAATGACCCCCCCCCAGCTGTAAAGGCTCACCTCCCTCCGCAGGCGATGGTGCCCTTTTTGCAAACTCAGCCCCCTCCCCCCCATCTGACAGATCCTGTGCATGGCCCTGTGCAGAAGGTATATAAGGAAATACTTTTTCACACAGAGAGTGGTTGATATATGGAACTCTACCAGCCCAAGCTGTGAAGTCAAGAACATACAGTACTGGGCTTCAAAAAAGCCCTTGAAAAATTATCAAGAACACAGGAGGGATTCTACACAGGCCACTGGCCTTCTTCCTCGGCATGGCCACCTCTGGTTGATGACCATTAAGTAAATAAGATAGATATTGAACTGAACATTGCAAAACCAGAAATTATGGATGGATTAAGACAGTTTGGATCAGTGTCAATATTAATGATAATAATAATAATAATAATATTAGCACAGTAAACGTGAAGTTCAAGAAGAACTTCTTTCAAGGCAGAGGAGCTGGAGGTAACCTGTAAGCCAGAAGACCTAGAGGTGACCTGCATATAATAATGAATGCAAATAAGTTAAGTCTGGCACATAAAGAGAGCTTTGTGGAATGTTTGTAATAATTCCCTTTGTAATCACCAATTAAGACGATTGTGGGCTTGCAGGATAATGAGACCTGTCACGATGGACGCAAACAATATAATTCGGTCATAACCTGTCGATACAAATTACATATCAATGAATCAATTCATTAAAACATGATATAAAAGGCTTAACATAATTATTGTAGACACAGTAATCATAGCAGGACACATTAACAGAACCACCTTGAGCTATTAATCAAATTATAACGTGAAGAATGTGCAATTATAAGATAAGTAATTCTCGTATGCGCTTATTATTTGATACACCACAATCACACTTATGTGTTACGGGTTTAATGCCAGCAGAGGGTGGAGGTGTTCACAGTATGGCTGTAAGAGGTGGTCTGAGTACATGTAAGGCCAGACAGACGCAACCACCTGTGGAACTGTCTACTTCAGCAGAAACCAGGACCGCTCTGCTGCAAACATCTCCTTTGCTCCCTACATCTCCACTACTCTCATAACTAAACTATTTCTAACAATTTATGAACACTGTCCACCCAGTTCCCCATGGGCAGTAACACCCTTCTATATAAGTCAAAATGTAATGTTACAGAAGGTAAATGAGAGAAATATATAAAATCTGGAGTATTATGTGAACCAGAGAACTGAATGTACATGAAGCTTGCACAAAGCCCTGTTTGTCCCTCTGAATGATGCAAAACCCCAAAATTGCAGAACAAAAATACACAAACAAGGAGTAGCAAGAATACAGATGATGAAGAGAACCAATGGGAAAAGAAAAATGGAGGAAGTGTGGTGGTGAAAATTTTTTTATTTAGGCACATGACAGAAAGTATATTGGAATGGCAAAGAACGTGTGATGAATGCTGTTGCTTAAGATTTTGAGTACCACTGAAAATTAAAGGAAACATGGGATATTGAGTAAATGAAATGAAGATCAAGAAATATATTACTAATGAATGCTAGATAAATTATTATACCTGTATAAGAGACTACTATACAGTTTATATAACACACTACTATACAGTTTATATAACACAC